ACACACACACACACCCTTACATACAGACCAAAGTGCACACAAGGGAGAAATTACTTCACCAGCCTAGCATTCCTTTCAATAATATATTAGGGCTTATACCGTAAGATTTGACTAAATAATGTATCAGGGTATATATCACCAAGATTTGAGTAAATAATGTATCAGGGTATATATCACCAAGATTTGACTAAATAATGTATCAGGGTATATATCACCAAGATTTGACTATATAATGTATCAGGGTATATATCCGCCTTTCTTGATTTAATCTGTCCCAGCATTCCCTGCACTACTATTTACTTACCGGAAGTAAAAAGATTCCCCAACAGACCGTCTCTATACACGAGCTAGTGGACATTACAGTTCTTGAAATATCAACATTTGGGGTTTATTTGTTGTTTTTTAAACATTGGAGTTTAGTTTGGGTTTTTTTTCAATATTTGGGTTTTGTCGTGTGTTTTTTTCAAAATTTGAGTGGGTTTTTTTTTTTAAATTTTGAGGTTTATTTGTGCTTTTTTTCAACATTTGGGTTTTTTTTTCTACTTTTTTCAACATTTAGGTTTTAGTTGTCATTTCTTTTCCTACCAGTTGTAGACCTTCATGTAATAAACTTCAAAACCTCTCTTCTTCTACCAGCTCTTGATAAACATGCCGCTGAAAACAGTGTTTCTTTCGGGCATCTCTTCAGGAGGAGGGCTCACGAAGCTCGACTGTCGCCCCCCTCCCCCGACCGAACTAGAATTTATATACAAGATACAGTGCTCTTCTCTTCCCCCCCCCCCCCCCCCCAAGAAGAAACACTAGAAATTAAGCCATCAAGACAAATGTAGCTATGATGCAAAAAAAAAAAATCCATGACGTAAAATAAGGACATAAATTTATATAAAGCCATGACCTCAAATAAAGTCATTAAGCCATCAAGTCAAACGAAGCCATGAAGTCATATAAAGCCATGACGTAAAATAAAGCCATCAAGCTAAATAAATTATAATAAAGACGTCAAGTCAAATGAAGCCATGACATAAAAATAAAGCCATGAAGCTAAATAAAGCCATTATGTCAAATAAAGCCATTATGTCAAATAAAGCCATTATGTCAATTGAAACCATTATGTCAAATGAAGCAACCAAGTCAAGTAAAGCCACCGCATCTAGCTGATTAAATTAAATCAAATACCCATACGTTTATCATATCTTTATGAACACCATCCATACAACTGCAACTTCATGTAATACTTGTTCAACCAGAGTAACATGGAACTACAAATTAAAATGGACCTTTATGTACCAAATCATACAAAACTATACAAAGCTATAAATGTGGATGTTAATTTTCTCCTTCACTGTCATTCTGGGCAGCCCTTCTGTTGAGAAACACTATGTTATCAGCAATAACTGAGGTTATGGTCTGTTCTCTTTTATTATCATCCACATATCTTTGGTTTTACAATGATCCCTCTATCAGAATTATGTCCCCTTTGTTGATTCTGGTGGCAACATTTTCTCTGAGACTAGGCCTAAAAACACAAACCCTGTGCCAGTCAGTCTTGGTCATAAGTTCGCCATTAGATGTTCTGTACTGAGCATTAGTTGCTAAAGGAAAAATAAGTGCAGGGTGCTCTTCTGAGCCTCTGGTTTCAGGATCCCTACCAACTCGTCCTAAAAGCGTGACCTTATTTAAACCTCTTTCAGCTTTTCTGGGAGCGGATGTTTCTTCTTCCTCTTGATTGTTGTTAATTTCTGCAGAATTGGATTCTCCAGTTGATGCTAATCTGCTGGACTGTGTAAATATGCTAGCTGTAACCCTCTTTTGTGGTAGTTTCAGCATTTTGAAGCAGTTTTTGTTCGATTCCTAGAGTCTATGTTTATGTTACAATGAATAAACTTAAAGGATCGGGTACAAACTAGACTCGAACTAGATCTATGACCTTCTGCTATTCTAGCCAACACATGCATTTTTTTTTTTGCCTCAGACACGTAATTTATAGCGTCAGTTGTGTGTTCGCTTTAGTATTACAGTTTTCATCATCGGCTTGTGAGGACTGATACAGATTTACAATAGTAATATTTCTTTCTTACTTGTAGCCTGTTTTCATTCATTTCAGGTGGTTTAATTATACATAGATTTAATACAAAACGTCTAAATATAAAGAAAAAAAATAATAATTAAAAACCAACCTGAAACTGAAAAATATCAAATACCCATACAAATCTCTCATGTATAATTTCATCCCTGAGCAAATAATACACCCCAAGAAATGTCGGTGCGTTAAGTATTTACTGTACGACTGCAATAATTAAGGTCCCCATAGCTCATTAACACATTAATATTTTACAAATCTATCTTCGAACTATAATTTTGCTAGGAAAGCTTTAGATAAACCTTTATCATAAAAATAAATAAATCCACAAATAAAATTTCTATCGATTTTTAAAGAATATTATTCAGACTCAATGGATTTTTTTTTTGTTAAATCCTATTATCTCCCTTACATTGCTAGTTTTTTTTTTTTTAGGCATTGTTGAGATCTGGATTTAATTAATTGGATGGATGGAGATCCTTGGTTGTTGTTTTTTTTTAAACTTTTTTATCAAACATATTTCTGATACAGAATATTTTTTAATGAGGCTATTACAATAAAAGCACTTCTCTTAATCATTTCCTACTCGTCTATAGTGACATCTTGATGTTTTATTTGCACCGCGATCACCACATCCTGATGTTTTGAGTTGTACCGCTGTTATAGCTTACTGTAGCATCGACGTATCGATGTCTGGATAGCTGAAGATTACCTCAGATACAGGACAGCAATAACCAGCATTGTCAGTTGTTTGACAGCTGTATTAGCATAAAGTCGGTCAATACCCTCACATCAATGTATTCGATTCCGCCCACGCACGACATGGTCCATCTGTGCCATTCACCCATAGTGTCTCGGTCCATCTGTGGCATTCACCCATAGTGTCTCGGTCCGTTAGCTTCGTCCACACACCACGACCTGTGTTGGCTATATAACGACCCAAATACAATATCCACACATTATTAGCGACCCGTGTATAACATCCACACATAACGACCCGTATACAACATCCACACATAACGACCTGTGTATAACATCCACATATAACCCATGTACAGCATCCACGCATAACGACCCGTATATAACATCCACACATAACGACCTGTGTATAACATCCACATATAACCCATGTACAACATCCACACATAACGACCCGTATACAACATCCACATATAACGACCTGTGTACAACATCCACACATAACCCATGTACAACATCCACACATAACGACCTGTGTATAACATCCACACATATAACCCATGTACAACATCCACACATAACGACCCATATTCAACATCCACATATAACGACACGTGTATAATATCCACATATAACCCATGTACAACATCCACACATAACGACCCGTATACAACATCCACACATAACGACCCGTGTACAACATCCACATATAACCCATGTACAACATCCACACATAACGACCCGTGTATAATATCCACACATAACCCATGTACAACATCCACACATAACGACCCGTGTATAACATCTACACATAACGACCCGTGTATAACATCTACACATAACGACCCGTGTATAACATCCACACATAACGACCCGTGTACAACATCCACACATAACGACCCGTGTATAACATCCACACGTAACGACCCGTGTATAATATCCACACATAACCCATGTACAACATCCACACATAACGACCCGTGTATAACATCCACACATAACGACCCGTGTATAACATCCACACATAACGACCCGTGTACAACATCCACACATAACGACCCGTGTATAACATCCACACATAACGACCCGTGTATAACATCCACACATAACGACCCGTGTATAACATCCACACGTAACGACCCGTGTATAATATCCACACATAACCCATGTACAACATCCACACATAACGACCCGTGTATAACATCCACACATAACGACCCGTGTATAACATCCACACATAACGACCCGTGTACAACATCCACACATAACGACCCGTGTATAACATCCACACGTAACGACCCGTGTATAATATCCACACATAACCCATGTACAACATCTACACATAACGACCCGTGTATAATATCCACACATAACCCATGTACAACATCCACACATAACGACCCGTGTACAACATCTACACATAACGACCCCTGTACAACATCCACACATAACGACCCGTGTATAACATCCACACATAACGACCCGTGTATAATATCCACACATAACCCATGTACAACATCCACACATAACCCATGTACAACATCCACACATAACGACCCGTGTATAATATCCACACATAACGACCCGTGTACAACATCCACACATAACGACCCGTGTATAATATCCACACATAACCCATGTACAACATCCACATATAACGACCCGTGTACAACATCTACACATAATGACCCGTGTATAACATCCACACATAACGTAGTATGTAGTATTTAAAGACAGTAGTCTTTAAATACAATGTTTCTAACATGGGGTTTTTTTGGGGGGAATTTTAACCATCACAACAGATGTTAACAAAATTTTACAGGGCCCCTTTTCTACTTCGTCCTTCTGGCAAAAATGTGTACTTTAAATGTTTAATATTTTTTAAGAGTTAAATTACTTTAGTTAAGGCAAAGGAATATTCCTTTTTTAGAGATACTAGAGCCACATTGCAAATAAGAGAAGGTACAGTTTACCAATAATAGGACAATTGGAAGTGTCAAGAAGCATTGAATATACACCAAATATATTTTTGTTATTACTGGGATCATCTGCATTTGACCTAACAAACAAGTGTGAACAGTTTTACAAGTAGACCACTGGCTCTTAAAGTTAATGTAAGGTAAATGAAGTTTATTGTCATCTTTAGGAGTTTCAAACGGCTTAACCTAGTCAAAGAGAATTTATAACAAAATTTAAAATATTAAATGAACAAGATTAGATGCACGGAAATGATAAGTTTTATTTGATATAATTCACAAGCTCCTTTAAAATCAAAGAACACACAACATTCTAGAATCATGTTACTACAGCTTGGGATGGAACTTTTTTTAATGACAGTCTGGCAATAATAAGCACAAGTAACAAGTAATTGTATGATCACAAATAATGAAAATATGTACATTACAATTGATAAACATAAATACATTTTTAAAAACCACTTAAACAGGCATGTACTCTCTCAAAACAAACGCGAGCGTTTATACGAGTCCATGTAATGTCCACCTAACCCTTGAGAATGTTGTCCGATGTAATCTGTCCCATCAGGGCTCTGTTCTGGTGGTGGCAGCAACTGACTGTGACTACGTTTCTGGCCTGGTGTCATCTAGACAAAAAAATTCTAATTTGCATTTTTTTATCAGGAAACAAGCAAAACAAAAGGATTAATGAAAGCAAATAACATTTTGACAAGAAGAAAGTGAACTTACAAATTTAGATGGGGATGGCAAAAGTCCTGTACCAGTTCCAGTACTCCCAGACAATCCTGTAAATGTAGCTGTGCCCATTTTGCTGCCACTTCCAATTCCAGAATAAGTATTCCCATCATAACTACCACTACCCAATAAACCCATCTTGGTGGAGGATTGATTATAAGATCCCATTGTGTCAGTGGACATGTTGCCTACATAGTTGTTGTACATCCCACTGTTATTTACAGTCCCTGCCCCACTTCCCAGTAGCCCAGCCCCTCTACCTAACATCCCTCCATTGAGAGCTGGTCCATTACCTAACAGACTATTTCCCCCCATGCTACTGCTGTCATCCTGATTACCATACATACCACTTACAGACCCGTATGCATCATAATTTCCATAGCTGTCTTTTAACCCATACACCCCTGCCCCCATCCCAGTCACATAATTATCAGTCCCATATTTATCTTGGCCAAGGCCACTGCTGTTTTCTTTGCTTAAAAGTTGGCCATCCTGCAAAATATCAGAACATGTTTAATTTTGGTGAGTAATAATTATAAATGAATTAAATGGTAGATCAAATGTTATAGATAAAATATATCTAAATTTGGTATCCCACATAGCTTCTATTATAAAGAAGACCTATCTATCTGATGAAATGTCAAATTATTCACTTGGTGAATCCAGGCAAAGTTATCCTTGTTGGATTTTTGCCTGTGAAATCTTGTACTTTTGTCTAATGACTCAAAACCAAAATATTCAAGTTAATTTAAGGAAACTTAATAAATGGCAAGACAAAGGACTGTTTTGATAACTGGATTGCTCAAACACTACAAAGATGTGTTGCTTCCCTGTTGAACACCAATTTAAACAAGCACTACATATTTTTAAATTTAGTGTTAGTTTCAAGCATGACGATTAGTTAAAACTAGCAGGGTACTTTTTTTTATGTAGTCAGGTGTACAAAAGAAGTGTAAGCCAAATGAGGTAACAAAGTAAAATTTGATGAACATTTACTGCAAAAGTAGAAAAAATAAGAAGAAATAAATATTAGCAGTCGTAGTGTTTAAGATCCCTCTGACAGGTAAGTTCATTTTTAATGCCAATGTCCAGGGGATAGCATCCACACATAACCCATGCACAACATCCACACATAACGACATGTGTCCAGGGGATAGCATAGTCGGCTATGAGAGCCTATAATTGCTAGCTGTGAATATCAAGTTCAAGCCTCCAAGCAGAGGAAGCCCATGAGCTGCTGACAACAAACCATCTAGGAGAGAAAACTATATCTAACAATTGCTAGCTTACTGGTTGTTCTTATGAGGACAAAGGATATGGAAGCAAATCTAGAAAGAAAAGCAAGCTGAAATCTTGAGTCTAAGGGCCATATAGTGCAAATCATGTTGACGCATATTTTATGTTAGAGGAAATCCCCCTTCAATATTATATAAAATAAAGAATCAAGAATAGCTGACTGCAAATATTTATGCCACAACCCAACAATGCTTTTTAAAAATAAAATCAATGATCCTCCCATTTCATCTCCGTTAAAATACAGTAGCAGTTTCCAAATTTTTGCCACGTATCCAAAAACTGCCAGTTTGGAAACAGTTGAAGGCGTGTCAAAAAAGATTCAGACTGAAATTTGTGAGAGAAATTAAGTAAAATCTAAGACTTCAGTTATGATGAATGGCCAGCAACCAATGAGTGCTACTTGGTACCTGGAAATTCACACCTGTTGCTTGGTTGTTGTTTTGTCCCATGCCATAGCCTACAGCACCCATTCCACCAGCATACCCAGCATTCATCTGCTGTACAAAAATCAAGATGAGAAAATATTTCACATGAAAGCACTGTCAATTGCCATCAAACTGACTTATTAATATATTAAAATGAAATATTCAGCAAGTTGTTGCTTCAAGTCTAAACTAAAACAAAAAAGGGGGGAGGGAGGGGCCATTATATAACACAAATTAACTTACCCCATAGGACTCATTGCTGTAGCTGTAATCAGTATATCCTCCCATTTTGTTGCTGTAGCCACTTTCATAAGCACCAGTACCCCACCTAAAGCAAAGAATAACAAATAAGAACCTACTGACCTGACTTTTTATTTAACTTCTGATTCAGTCATTTTTTTACTTAACATTAGAATTTAGTTAAACATTTTTAAATTCTGATCATAATAGTTGATTATCTTAAAAAAAATATTACCTATCCATCTGATTCACATTCTCATAAGACATTTCTGTTTTTTTCCTAACGAAATGAAAAGAAAAATGGTCACAAGTGTTAGATCACAGGCAACTGATGAATACTAAAACTTTGAACATAAACAGCTGTACAGTAAAAATCATATGTACGAGTTTGGGTAATTACCATACCTTGTTTCCATATTTTTCCATGATCCTTGGTCTACAGATGTATGTGAGCTGCTTAATGAGGTGGATTTGACATGAGCAGGTGGTTCCCCCAGAAGTGATGATTTCTGACCTGAACCTTTAAATCTAGAATGTCCATCACTTGGAATGTCACCAAGTAGACCTTTACCAGAATTTGTGTTTCCTCCTTGCCCTACAGACATTTGATACAACAGATTTTGACCAATCTGATGCACTAGCCCCTGGCTAATTTGACTGAGAAGGCTTTGACCCACACTGCCTGTTGAACTCCCACTGCCTACATTAAGACCCATGGCTTGCATTATTGAAGCATTCACATTGGCAGCACCAACATTTGCACCCATTAGTGGTTGAGGTGCATCCCCAAGCAAAGAATTGCCTTTTCCACCTAAATGTCCAGAGAGCAGAGGCTGTGGGTTGATAGCCGGCATTGGTCCTAACAGCGACTGCCCTTTACCAGCTGCAATAGTGTTAAAAAAAAAAGTGTCAAAACGTAGGCATTATAAACTTAATTTATTACTTAAATTTTAAGAAAATAAAAAGCTGAAGAATGAAACAAAATTATATTTAACAGATAAGCTAGTAAAATTATCTAAGCAGAAGAAGATGTAGTTATGTAAGTGCTTCTTGCATACTAACCAAATCTATTACTAACATCTCCTTGTTTCATAGTAACCAAAAGTTGACCAAGATTGTTGAGGAGACTCAAGTTGAGATATCGTCCATTAGCTATGAACTTCTTTGTAATGTATCTTAACTTTTCATCAAGAGCTAAGGGTTCAAGCATCTCTTTACCATCTTCTCCAATTAATGGCACCTGATTTAACTGTTGCTTCAAGCTGGTGAGAATAACATTAGCTTGGCCTGTCAGAGGATCTCCTAGAATTGATGGTTTGGGTCCTTTGATCTGTGGAAAATTAGATGCACCCTCACTCGTCTATTTAAACTGCATAACAAATCTATATAAATACCAACAATCTGCCAGATGTCCAGAACTGAATGTGTTCTGAACAATTCTTCCATGGCCACATTAAAATATTTTACCATGAAAATTAGAAATGGTTTTGTATATTTAATAGAGGCTTTGCTACATAAGAAGTTTTTCATTTTGTTGAGTTTTCGCTTTTGCATTGATTGCAAAATTAATTTTGCATTAATTTAGTATCCATGTTAGGAATTTACAGAAGTTTGTTTATTGTATTTATATTTCTAATTGTGTGTCACATTGGACTACATTTAATTAATTTTATTATTATGCTTGTGGCACTGTGTAGCATTGGATATTACTGATGAAAGTGAGCTGGTAGGGAAGACAATGGAATTAGACTAGGGTGTTGTGGGTAGGATTTGTCAGGGTATGTGGAGAGAGAGAGGGTAGAAAGTGAATGGGAAGAGGTTTTTTCAGTGTACTGACTTTATCAAAGTAGACTTGCTACTCTTTGAACTAAGTTTTGATTTAGAGTATCATTAAAATAAACAGCTTCTAATCAAATCAGTCCATTAAGTTCTATTTGTTTTGTTTTCAGATTGAGAAGCCTCATCACTTAATTTTAAAAGATTTGTAAAAGAAGCTACAAAAGATACTTACATCACCAAATACATCTTGTTCACTTAATGTATTCAACTGCTTGGCTAACACACCAGTAAACTGAAGGAAAATATAAAATAGCATTAGTTAAAGGATTAGGTGTTCAATTGTAAAAATGTATTGTTCTAAATGTATTTTCTATGTTTAATCACATATGTACAATAAGGTAGAAATGAAATGAAAAAAAAAAGCAATGCTTCTTTTTACCTGCATTCTTTTAGCAGCTTGTATGTGAATTGCCAACATAACAAGAAGCCCTAACTGCATGTTGGGGTTCATCATTGGACTGAGAGGTAAAGAAGGTGCTGGTCCTAATAAACCTATAAGAAAAAAAAACATTCCTCATACATCAATGAATAGTCAATGTATAGGTATCAGTAAAGCTCTGATGTCACTTTCTACACCTTTATAAAAACAGCCAATGCCAATTCTTTTTAAAAAAATAAAATTCGCACATTTAGTGACCACAGCTGTACTGATGACTAAATGAGGCAGTAGATCAATGAGTCAGACATGATAAAATGTTATTTCATAGAACAGACAGGACAAGATTTCACCTCATTTTGAATTGAGAATGAAGTGATAAGTGAAAGAATATTTCTGGAAAAAATGAGTTGTCTGTCATTGAAAATAGTTATCTGGCTCAACACTATGGCACTGAAGAAAGACGAGAGACAGACAGCAGAAAAAAGGGTATGATAATTATGCACCCAGTATCTGGAAGACAGACGAGAGATAGACAGAAGATTGAAGGGCCTGAAACAAAACAAAACATATTTTTTCTGTTAGTATGACTGCAGTGGCTATAATGTGACTGATCTGTATTTGTGTTTGTCTACATATGTCAAGTCTACCATGGCTATTTGAACCTTGAAAAGGAAGTAGAAGGTGAATTCACTTTTCTCACAGCCAAACCCATCCGCCTGTTCCTGAAACAATTCACAACACTACATCAATCAAATGTGGCATTTTTTGCAATACACCTTTTATCTTGTCAGAAACTACCATGCCTTAAATTTACTACCAAAAGCAGTTGAACAAACAGAGAAAAGTGTTATTAAAAAGGAATAAGGAACACAAAAATGAAAGTTGAACACTAAACACTAACTGTAATGCAAACATACGAATTGTAATTATGTTCATTTACAAAGCTTGGTTGTTTAATGTGATAAATAGTATATTGGTAATTTCAGCAGTGTATTTGAATACAGTGAAAATATTTACGTTTTGAGCTTTGATAGACTTATTACATTGGCTGAATAAAAGAAGAATAAATTTATTACAGAAAAGAAATTGGAAGTTTGTGGCATAAAGCTAGACAAGCAGTTAGATTTTTAAGATAAAAATTGTATCAAATTAAAAAGAACAACATATTAAAAGGAATAAAATGACATAATACCTTTCCAAACTAAGAAAACACTTTAAAATAATAATTGATTAATGTAGTGGAAGATGCATAGCATAACTACCTGGTTTGTTGACTGGTGACATCATTTGTGATACATAAGCCTGCTGTAATTCACCTAGAATTTTTGTGAATTCCCCCATTACTGTAGAAAGAAATAGAATACTTAGTATACATAAAACAATTTAAAAATTGCCCTTGCTAAGTATTACTAAATCATAAATTGTGGCAAAAAACCAAGTCGTGAATTCTGTAAGACCAGAACTATTTTCACATTCTACCTGAATTAATTTTTCACTCATTTTTTAAATACCTACACCATTTAATTACTTTATCCCACCACCCCCACCCACCCCAAATTTACTAAAACCTACACATTTTACATATGATATAATGGTACTGTTTTATTTTTTAAAGAGAGAAAATCGCTTGGTTTTTAAAAGATAAAAAATCATTAGTAACTTTTTACTAGGAAAATATATACTTTTACTGAGAAAATTGCTAAAAAGTGTTATTTTATTTTTGATTCATAGAAACTAAATTATGCAAATATTTCTACCAAAATCAGGGAATGGAATAGTATTAGAATACTTTTTTTTGTTTATTATTTTTTTGTTTACTTATTTTCCTCAGTGTTAACAAATGCTGTTTAACAAAACTAATGTCTAAAAGTACATGACTGACCTCCAGCTAATATATATATATATATATATATATAATACTCAGAGCATATATATATATATATATATATATATATATATGTATATAATACTCAGAGCATTTTAACAGTATGGAGGGGGTGGTGACCGAACACTGGGAAGGTTTTTTTTGGTTTGGTTTTAAGATTCAATAGGCACAAATGATATTGAAACAGAAAATTATTTACCAGAAATAAATTTAAATGGTACTGACCATCCAACAATGATGTAATCATTTTTGTTCACAAAAAAAAACCACTCTATCAAAGATACTACACAACTGTGACAGCTCACTAACATAACACACATCAAAATTAAACATCATCAAAATTCTGTTTAAGATACTTACAGCTGGGATTAAATTTTGTGAGACTCATGACAATAGGATTGCCGGCAATAACTGGCTTGGCAGAAACTGGGTCTGGTAACAGACTGCTGCTCTTTGTCAGTTTATCTCCCTTTGGAAATTTTAAAAAAAAATTGTATTTCTTAAGATAAAGGTTAAAATAATTCATAACTTAAGGGTTCAGAGTTTATGCTACTTTTTTCAGAAATGAAAGTAATAATTCTAGACTTTAACTTTATCTAAGTCATTGTTAGTATGCTAAAACAATGTAAAACCGTACTTAATTTTTAAACTTCATTTACATTCAAAAGCCTGTTTGCTGCCCCAACAGGTGTAACACCACAACATGGGTGTCAAAGACAAAGTTATGGAGAAAATAATTAACAGCCCTGATATTCTCATTTTGGGGGAAAAAAAATTAAATTTATTCCATTCCTGAGTAATTATGATAAAGTAAGATATAAGCAGGTGGTTTGTATTAACTTCCAGTGCAAACTTTTACCAGAGGCTCATAAGTCCAAACTAAACTAATTACTATAATATTCAAAGGGAACTTTGCATATTAATAACATTTATCTACCATGAAAAAAACTACTAAACTTGAATTCACCCCACTCTTCAATGAAATAGTTCAGCTGTATGAGTAAATGCAGTAAACAAATTCAGATAATTTTGTTTAACAGGTGTTGTACTGTACAACGTTGGTTCCATCACCCTAGCCCTCACACAGCTGTGTATACAGGGCAATGTGAGGTCATAAAAAAGTGGATTAGAGAACTACTTGAGATATTTTATCCACAGCATTTTAGCTCCTAGAATAAGATTTTTTTTTTTCAAATAATTTCAGATTCCAATTTGAGACCCAGCCCATAAACAAATGATTTTTCTGGTATTTTTCAAATATGTTCTTAAATTCATTTTCCAGACTATGTACAAAGCCTACTGGCTACAGCTAACAAATTATCTATCAAGTCATTTACTTCAATATAACTGCACCACATTTAAAGAGCTAAAATCTATGTGAAGTATTTAAATCTATTTACATATTTCCACATAATGCGGTTGTTTATCACCACTGCAGATTTGCCAGGTATGCAAAAAGTCATAACCAATGGTCTATCTTGAATCTTTTCATCCCTCAATTTCAACCAGGTCTTTTCAGCATCTTCAGCTGTGCGAAACTCCACTATGCCATAGCCAAGAGATCTATCCCCTTTAGCAATTATCTGTTCAAAGATAAGATTCAATAAATTATATTGTGCAATACACGTATAAAAATTATATTTTGACACTACAGCGGATAAACACTATGATGGTTAAGAATTTTCATAAGTGGTAACATGGAGCTTGCCTAAATTATTTATAAAGTTAAAACTTTTAAAATTTTTACAGACTAAGAGGATCTACATCTACTTTCTAAACAATTTAAAAATCATGATGTATCATAAAATATATTTAAATACCATTAAATTTGTATGTGGTATAAATAATTTAAATTTAAATTATGAATATTTTTTTAAACAATTTTTTGTATATATCTTCTTTTAGACAAACTTACTTGGCAATAAACAGGACTAGTCACAGCCCCAAACATTTCTCTTAATCTAGAAACATCGACAAAATCTTCAGCCATATTTGTGATAAGCAAACATCTAGATTGTAAGCGTTCCCAAGTTTGACAGGATTCTTCAACAAAATCTGCATGTAGTGTCTGTCCTTCTATCACTTTCCAATCAAACTCAGATTTGATAAGTTTAGCTTGCTCTATGTCTGCAGCAAACTCCACAAATCCATAGCCTTTACTGTCTCCTATAATAAGAGCATAATTTTAAATTTCCATGTAGAAGAAAATTTATTATGATTAAAGTAGATGAATTTTTTTATAATATGACCAAATAGGTAAAAACAATCAAACAAAAAATACCTGTTTCCTCAGATCTCATTATGTAGCTGTACTCTACTGCTCCATATTTTTGACACATATTCAGGAACTGTGCATCAGTATAAGAGCAGGGGATATGAGCTATGCAAATCAGCTGATTACTGTAGCCCAGTTTAACAGTAACTGTATTATCTTTGAATTCTTTGCCATTGAGCTTTGCAACAGCATCATCAACCTGATTGCCATTTTCTAATGTAACAAGAGCTGGGAAAAAAACAAATTTCTTAAGTTTTTAAAATACTAACAGCTCTACATTTGCTTTAAAATAGCATGGAATTCCATTCCCTGATACGCAATGCTTGTACCAAAGCATTTGACCTTTTCACAGCAGTACCAAACAGATAGTTTATATTATAGAAATGGATCTATTGTGGACAATGGATGCCACTAACAAAATATTTTCATAAAATCCTACACCCATGTTTAGTTTTGATCAAATAATTCTCTATATGTTATTAACAACTGTTCTACCAAAAACTCTTTGTAACCTTACAAATAATCTCTAGGAAGGAAATAATCATAAAAAAGTAAAACTTATGAACAAGAAATAATAAAAGTATAGGGCCTATATTTTCTGCTTAAGAACAAAACTAAAATTACCTGTATCAAGTGTTTCACTAATTTTGATTTTTTTAGCTTCAAATCCGTTTAGGAATTCATGGAGCTCCTAGAGAAAAAAAAGTGTAATGCATTTTTAATGGAGTGAATGGGATTTTTAACCTTATTTGTCTTTTCATATAAAACACAAAAACAAGGTCACTGATCAGAGTAAATAACTTTAAACTTTATAAAAAATTTAAACTAGGCCTAGGCCTAAATGACTTTTTATTAGCCTACATTTTCTGTGATAAAAATGTAAACAAACAAATTGTTTTTGGCATTTTTTTAAATAAATTTTTTAAAATTTTGCTTAGGCCTGGTTACCAAAAATACTAAAAACATCAAATAGGCCTAGAATCTAGATCTAGATCCGATCTTTAGTGAAGTCCAAAAAAAATATCAAACAGGTCAGATTTTTATAGGCCTAACCGTAGGCCTATTTATTTTTAAATAACATTAGATCTAAATGATTTTTAAAATATTTAATGCGCCTTCACTAATGCCTTAGTCTCGATGATAAATAGACCATCAGACTCCATTTCGCTGAACTGGAGGTGAACCTGAAGCAGTAGGCTTTTTGATAAGAATTACAGAATGATTTTTTTTATTAAAAATGTATCAATAATAGCTAGAACACTAGTAAACTAAGCTAATTTAGCATATTTTAACTTTCTGTGCAAAGTCATTATTACTGAAAAAAATTCCAAAGTCAGGTCAGCCTGTGGCACCCTCCACTGAACGTGACAGAAGGAAAAAAAACTTCACCCGTGACCTTCATTAAAACAGAATTTGCTTTTTTTATTTTTTTCATTTTTGGTAAACATGTGCTTAATCTTACCCAATAAGTGATAAAAATTTGAAAATTAATTTTAATTACTGTTGTAAAGTGAGATAAACAGCTTAATAAACACGTGTTTTCTTGAGGGGGTGTGGCCCGGGTGTGGCACATCGCAATTATAACTTTATATTTCTGTGTTTTATGACTATATTTGTTCACAATCAGCATGCTATGTTTTTAAAATTGATAAAGGGTAAGTATACCAAGTTACAAAATCTGCAATCTAACTAATAATTCATACTTTCAATTTAAAAAATAATAAAAACGATCATCAACGAAGAAAGCGTAAACATTCTATTTTTAGGTGTGACATAAAAAACAGTCATAAATCTAGCCAAATGATTGGATTCTTGCGCTGCACACATTTTCCCGCGCCTCGTTTTCACCAAACAAGAATATAATAAAATGGCATTATTACTTACACCCTCAAAAGCATTGTTTTCACCCAAATTATATTAAACAGTTCTATTTTTATTTGATAGTAAAGATGTTATACAAATTGTATCATATAAGAAAGTTATTGAAGAATGCACCTGCTTTAGTTAATTCGACTTGAAACGCAAGCTAAGTAAGCGTGACTTTCTCTCGACGGCCTCGTTAAATACAAATAAAGAAATTAGGTCAAAAGTACATCTGGGAATTCTTAAATAACAGACTGAAATAGAAACGGATAGTTCCGATGTCTAAAATTAACGATGGCCTCGTTATTATTAGTTTTATCGCTCTACCATTTAGTGAAAGCGAAACTGGTCGCCATTTTTAGTAAGCGCATGAGCCGTGAGATGCCACGAAAATGACAAACCCGGAAGTGTTGAATCGAACGGCCTACTGAAGCAGTGACTCCAGTCAGTGACTGAGTGAGGTGAAAAGCAATGAGTAAAATATGCTAAACTAAAATGGAGTTTTACCCTAATTTGACTTTGTTTACAGTTTACACATTTGAAAATTTGATTATTGATAGGCTCTACTTTATGATAAGTAAATAAGTAGGCTATAAAATTAACTTTAATATTTTCATCAAAATGTACTCTCAGCTCAGCTTGGTGACTGGCGATTGACTGACTTGCTTGACTGAGTGAAGTAAATCGTTTGTCTTAACTTTTGTCATAGTCTTTACAGTAAAATAATGAATCACATAGATATATTTGTATAATAAAGGACTCACCCCTTCGGTACTTGGTGGGAGATTTAACAGTTGAATGTGTCTGTGCTTATTGTACTCATCTTTCGATTTCGAGCGCAACTCAAAGTTAGTACTCCTGGAAGCCATTTTGAGCTGTTAGCTTTGCTGCCCGTACAACATATTAAAAAGTTGCCAATTGTAAAATGTTAAACATTTCCGAACAAATTTGTACTTGCTTTTCGAAAAGACTTTTATGATGAAAATGTAGTGGAAGTTGTTTTTGTTTTTTTTAATATGGAAAAGTGATTCATCTCAATAATGCTTTTTATTTAAGTACCATTTTGAACTCTGCTTAAAGTTTTTATATTCAATACAGAATTTACTTCGTTTCGTCCGGGCGGGCAGCAGAGGTGCTCGGGGGGGGGGGGGGGGGTCAGAGCCTACACCGAAGAGATGTACAAAAGGAATTTTCGATCGTGATACAAAATTGTTTTAGCACACAAAAAAATTCAAAAACAATATTAGGGGTAAGAAACGTCATATCCAGTCTAAGTCCCTAGCCTCCAGTAAGGGAGAAAAAATACATTGTTAAATCTGTTATCAAACAGCTGATCTCTCTTACACAAACACACACACAATCACACTTAAAAATGTGTATTTTCTTCTGCAACATTTTTAATGAACAATTTTTTTAAATTATTATTTTAAGAAGAGCTCAAAATATAATTGTTGCTTTGCTAGATTTATATTCGTATTTTTTATCAATTCAACTTAAATCACTAAAAATGTAAACATTAAATTTAATAATTGTGTTTAATATTGTTTTATATTATATAAATATATTTGTACTAAACTTATAACCTCATATTACTCATAACGTTGTCTTCCATAAATTGAAATGCTCAAACCGACTTCTTATGTGGCAATTCAGTCAAAATACACTTGCTAAATCTAGGACAATTTTCTTACAAAAAGTACCAGTGGCGACATCCGCTGTAAACCTAAAAATAGGCTAGACGTTGAGTCTTAATTATATATTGACATAGAAAAATCTAGATCTAGAAACTGTATAAATGCTTTTAAATATTTACAAATTCTAACGGTTATGGGTAATTTAAAAGTAAGCATAAAGTCTTTAAATAATGAAATACAAAAATATCAAAAGAACCAAACGGGACTCTTTGCTATTGCGTAATATTACCTAACAACTAACAAGGTATTTAGTGAAATTTAAAGTTAAACTTCGTGTTACAGGCTTAGATCTACGGGTTTGGGGAAATTGCGAAAAGCGAAATGGCGAGGCGGGAAAATGCGAGAAGATAATGCCCCTAGATCTACCCACTATGACTCTCAGTACACCTAGGTTTATACTAGATCTAGTTTAGACCAATAATTGCATTGTTTCTACACCCTTCCAGTGTTTCTTCCAGACTTTTTTTCCCCGGGGGGGGGGGGGGGGCAGAGCCACCTGAAGAGATGCCTGGAAGAAACTCTGCACCCTTCCTCCATACACAATCACAAACATACACACGAAGCTCAGCCATCGTTCCCTCGTCGAACCAGTAAAAATATTACACTAAATATAAATAGAAAAAATATATATACTTTGAAAGTAACACCCTTGGAAGTTTCAACTGCCACCCCCTTCCCCCTTTCCACTGGAAAATGTTGGAAAGAATCTATGCTACCATGTCGGCGAATTACGCAGTTCTGGGAGCCCATGTGAATTGGGGCGAGCCCAAATCCGACCATAAATAAAATTTTAAAAATATTTTCATATTTTAATTTTCGTCCATCATTACTTGATAGTGATTTTGTAAAAAGAAACAAGTTAATAAAAAGTCTAGTGACAATTTAAGCGCAATTTCCTTATGTTATCTATAACAATTTTTAATTTTTTGTGACCGAACGAAAGGATATTTTTTGCGCTAAAAACCTACACGATGCTCAGTTTAAATTAAAAATATCATCCTAGGCCTACACGATGCTCAGTTTAAAAATTCTTAATTAATTTTTTGTGACCGAACGAAAGGATATTTTTGAAAACTTTCTTCGGCAATATTGTTCTAAATTATGGCTGGAATCGATTGGTAAATGTTTCAAGTCGCTAAGTGGTCTGGTTGCCGAGATATCGGCAAAAAACTGCAAGTTTTCGAGGTTTTTTGGCTTTTCCGGGAAATCCAGGAAGGAATTCCGGGAATTATTTTGGCCCACAATCATCCTCGGAACTTGCTTAACATATTTGCTTTTGGAACTAGTCCTCGATATTGCTTCGTTGAGGAGGAGATACGACTTAAAGCTGCGGACACACATCCACACATACATCCATACAGAAATGACGCATTATTAAACGCAATTGCCAGTATGGAAATTGCGCTAAAAAGTATTATAACTGTTGTTGAGTTTTCTTTTTTCAACAGTAACTAATAGAAATAGTTATTCCCCTTGGCAAAAAGTTTACCCGCGTAACCCAAGATAGTAAAAAAAAAGAAACTTTTACCGTTGAAGATTTATTAACTGCAGAGGGTGAAATTTACATGAAGGGGTCTGTATTTTGGTACCTTTAACCCTAACCCTAGAGGCGGGTAAGAATTAGTGTTATATTCATATCCTCTTCTTAATAATCTTCGTTGGGGGGGGGGGGGGGTATAGTGTTTCTTCAAGACTTTTTTCTCCGGGGGGGGGGGCACTTGAAATTTTCGGGGGGGGGGGCACTGTTAAAAGTATATATTTTCTATATAAATTATATAAATTTCATTCTGTTCGGGGGGGGGGGGCGGTAGAAGAGATGCCTGGAAGAAACTCTGGGGGGGGGGGGGGGGGTAACGATTTAGGTGGGGCTTATCTGGACAAATACCCACTTAGTTACGGTGGGTCTTGGCTAGAGACGGCTACATATGGATAGGGTCCCTTTATCTTTTTTTTTTTTTTTTTTTTTTTTACTAACGATGCGTTTTAAAATTGTGAATCATCTCTATTTTCTTCGTAGCTGAAAAACGCTAGTGGCCCGAAAGTTTTGAAGTGGGTTTCAGAAAATTTAGACTGTTGAGTTCTAGAGGACCGGGAAAAGTCGGCAATGCTGATGCTCATCATACATGGTATACAGCAAAATAATTAAATAAGCTCGAGCAAAAACTATTAGTAAACGACGTACACCTTTGGGTGTTTTGGACAGGAGCCGCACCATATTAGTCGGTCCTTTTTTGTCGCGGGATCCTATTTTGTCGGGAGTCATATGGGAAAACGAACTGGCTCATGGAGCCATTATGTCATAGACCATTTTAAAGAGAGCTGTATCGATGCCGTCCTTTTGTAATAGGCTCTTTTGATGAAGTCATTCAAACTCTATTGATTCAATAAGGGGGTCATCCATGAATGACGCCACGCTGTTTTTTTACGAAAAAAAAAACGTCACACGTCGTCACTAAAAGCCAGACCCCCCTCTCCCGAAAATGACGTCACACCTCAGCCTATAACCCCTCTCTCTCCAAATTGCTGTTGAAAAAGTGACCCCCCCCCCCTCCCCCTCATCACACACCGTCACAAAATTACGGACCCCCCTCCCCCTACGAGTGTGACGTCATTTATGGACGACCCCTAATAAAAATTTCTCTCTTCAATAAGTTACACAGGCCCTAAGCTATCTAAAGCGTATAGTAACATCAAAACATTTTTTTTTTAAATCCATGCAGATGAATTAATTAGGCCTATTGGTTGTTGCACGCAGGCATAGTACGATTTTTACATCCCCCTTCCACATTATCAAAATATCTAGAGACAATAACACTAAAAAAAAGACATCTTTCCACATCCTTCTCAATATTTTAATTTTTTATACATGGATTCAGTGTTTCTTCCAGACTAAGGGGAGGAGGGGGCAGACACTGGTAAAAGTATGTCTTTTCAAGTATGAATTTTCAAAGTAGATTTCTTTAGTGAGTAAACACATATATTGTGGAACATGATTTTCTACTTAAGTCCTGTGTCTAGACCTACCTGGAATCTATAACCCTATAACCCCATTATATATAGCCTGTTCTAAAGCAAACTTTGGTATGGACTGTTTAAAAGAGACAAAAATTTTAAGTATGCACATTTGAATGTGATGTGTAATGATTAAACTACAATTCCACAAGATGTTTTTAAAAAGAAAACTGAATACATCAATATGAAAGATTTGCATATACAAATGACTGATGAGTAATTTTAAAATACAAGCTCCTTGAAAGTAAAAATAAAACTATCAAGTAGAGATGGCTAATCAAAGTTGTCTTAGTAATTGTTAAAACTAAGCAAAAATATGTAGGATTATAAAACTTTTCAAATCCCCAAATCAAACAGCAGGCAAATAAACAACCAGTCACATTAACTGAAAAGCAGTTTCAATCAAACGTTTAACATTAGATAAAACAAAGTTTATGACATAAGATTAGCATTTTATTAAAACAAATTTTTATACACTTGTATATGAAATACAAATAAATAATGTTTTTTATTTTATTTTTTCTTGTTCTTTTTTTTGCTAGCTTCTCTCCGCCTCTGAGTTAAAGGATTTCTAGGATCATGAATCTCATAGCGATCAGCATCTGTAATGTTGGCATCAATCACTTTTTTCTTGCCTGTGTCCTCAAATTGCAGCTTGTGTCGCATCCTGTACACGATTGATCAAATGTTTTATTAGTTAAATATTGTGTATTGCAGTGTTTTGGAATTGGATGATCTTATTTTTTAAAAACTTGCAAGAAATTTTTATTTTAGTTTTATATGTGTAGAATCAATCAGTTTGTCCATTCAATAGACAATTATATAAATATAACTCCCAAAACATTAATAAAGCAGAACATTAGTTATGATGAACTGGCTAAAAGTATTTAAATTAAGATAAACTAATTTGTTAAAATGTAATCTCTTCTGTGTTTAAAAACATGTCCATGCTGCTAAAATCCTTTGTTTTGTTTTTTCTTTTAAAGCATAAAAAATACATTCTAAAAGATTTATGTAAGTAACAGTTTTTCTTCGACAACTAAAACATAGATATAACCCAAACTATCTCAAAATAAAAAATTAGAAAAGCAATTACCAAGATAAATCACTGGCTTCCTCCTCTGCATTATCTCCAGACTTCTCTTCTCCTTCTGAATCAGAGTAGTCGACTTTCAATTGTTTTACTGAAGACAACTTGGATTGGAACTTCTCTAGTATAGCTAGTGTCTGGGCCTCTCTGCTCTGGCCTTTCTTTTTCTGCATCTTCTTTAAATCTTTGTATTTCTGTCTTTCTAGTTTGAAAGTCTCAAGAAAGTCAGGAGCTTCAGCTAAAGAATATGTAAAAAAAAAAAAACAGCTAAACATTGGAGTTGTATTTATAAAGTGGGAAATTATTTCACAGGTTTTCCATGAGAAATACTTTTTTAAGGGGAATAGATTTATTAAAAACCTAAGTTGATATGAAGCTGAAGGTCAATATTTAGAATATTATTATAAAGGAGATGATATTGATTAACATGAAGGTGTTCACAATGAAAAAAAAACCTAATAAAGTTAACTTGAAATCTATTGGAGGAGTAGCTTTAAATATACTTGACAGAGCATATTATTAAATTAAAAAATACAAACGGAAACTCAAACCACTTACTATTAGCAAACTAAGCATTCTGATTAAAATTAAGAATCATCCAATATTTGAATGTGGAAACCATGATTAAAATGACTGGTTAAAACATGCTAAGCACATTTACCTTTCTTTTCTTCTAATTTTACTTCATCTTTATCTGTTTTTAATGACTGTTCTGTGTTTCTTGTTTCTGCCCTCTTTTTAGATGCCTTGATCTCTCTTTTCAGTTTCTCAGTCTCTTTCTTGATCTCATCCCTAAAACAATTTCAAATGATGACAATAAATTTAAATTGTAAAATATTTAAGAAAAAAACCAACAATAGATAACACTGTTTATAACCCCACCAATCCCCATTTTCAAAAATAAAAATATTCATGACATATTTCTGGCTATTAAGGTACTTGTTACTTGTTAATAGCCGGGGATTGGATAAAATGGAAGGAAATTGTGGAGGCCATATGTTCCAAAAGGAGCAAAGAGGACTAATTCAGGTCAAGTACACTCTCATCAATGCATATATAGCTTCATAAATTCTTAAAGATACAAAATGTTTGGAAATAGAATACAGGAAAAGGAAAACATCCTTCAAGACTGAGGTGTTCAAAATTTAGAGGACTTTAACATCATACCTTCTGGATTTTTTTACATCATCATAGAGTGGTTCTTCCTTCTCTTCATGTGTTACTTCAACGGCATCTTTTTTAAGCTTTTTCCTAACTTCATCAGCTGTTTCTGTATTCACTTCACTCTCCTGCAATTATCACAGTCATTTTACAAACATAAGTTAAAAATAAAATCATACTGCATGGCAGATAGTAAAACTAATATATTAATATACCTGAACTTTTCTTTTGAGGTTTGACTTCTCTAATTCACTTGTGTCTAAAACAGGGATTGAACTTAAATTTGGATCATCTATAAGGTCATGGCTGCTCTTGCTTTTCCCACTCAGTTTCTAAATAAAAGAAAATTGTTTGAATTCTTCACTCTTTAATAAAATACCAGTTGGTTAAATAACACTGCTTTGATTATACCAATCAATTTCTAAATAAAAGAATTTCAACACTGTAAACTTCTCTGTTTGAATTTGAGGAAAATATCTAAATACAATAACATGGCTCTAATTCTCCACTCAAATTTTATTAGCAGACAGCTATTCTCACTTTCATGTTTTTTATCTCACATTTATGACAATGAAAGCAGTGCATACTAGACTCACCTTAACAGCCTTAAATGCCTGCTCCTCATCTTCTTCAGCTTCTTCACCAAATGACAACAAACTAAAATTTCTGTGAAATTAGTTCAGCAATGTTATTTTTTTAAACAAATAATAATTGCATTTTTAATTAATTTTGGTTGATTTAAAAAAAAAATCTTTTTGTCATTTCAAATATTAGCAGTTATTCAATATTTTTATAATTATTATTTAAAAACATGTTGAATGCTTCTGATTGACATTACTATTTATTCATAGTAATAAAAGGTAAGAGCAAAATAATATTTTGGCTATATCCATCAAATTTAAAATTATTTGTATTTATCTTTACTGTACTTAGGTACTCATATTCCTAATATTTTTTTTAATATAGAAGATTGTTAATCATGATACTGCTGAGTAATCTAAAAGTAAAAATAAAACACAACATTTCTCATTGAACTAACTTTGTGGCTTTTGATTTGCTCTTTATTTTTTTCTCCTCTTCTTTTTCTTTCTTTGCTTTCTTCAATACTCTAGGTTCAATGTCATCAAATGGATTGGACAGAATCTAAACAAAATATGTAATCTCAAAATCAAACTGTAGGCCTATACAGACTTTGTATGAGCAACTGGATATACATTTATAGATCAGATAAATTTGAAATAAAACTAAGAATGTAGATATATCTGGATTTCTTTCTAGTACAATGGTATTGTGGGAACCAGGCAAACACTGCCAGACATTATTTATAGCTTTATTATTTTAAAAACTTTAACTCTATCCCTAAAACTCAACGCGGACACATATAGTCAACACAGAGATTACCCAGCATCCAACAACAACAAAAATAATGTTCTATAAAGAACAATTATATTTACCTCAGTACTTATAATAGTTGGAGGATACAATGGTTTTTCATTTCCATCAACAGCAACTTCTTGAAGCTTGAGCATGTTAAATAAAGTTGGACCCGTCACTTTACCAAAGATTGTGTGCTTGTTTTGAAGCTCTGGTGTTTGGTTCATGGTGAAAAAGAATTGACTGCCATTATCATGGGGTCCACAGTTTGCCATGGCCACCAAGCCTCTGCGAACAAACCGCAACCTTGAGTGAAATTCATCCTGAGGAAGAAAAAGTATTGAATCGTAAACTATTACTGTCTAAAAATATTATATTATTTATCTACATGAAGCATGCCATGAATTGGTGACTTACATAATAACAAATTATAATTTCTTCATTTTAAAAACAAAAATAACATTTACCATTTGTAGGTAAAGTTATATTAAACGTGTTTGGGATTTTTAGATAACAAAATATTCAATATAAACTAAAGTACATGCACTTTGTACCTGGAGTATACAAATGTTAAGACTAGATGCTTTACTTTCATTGACTAAGTGGATTCGCGGATTCTTTCTGATAAAATCTTGTTTTAAACTTTGGCAGTCTCTGAATAACTTTTTAGTGAAAATTTAATGTGGAAATTTTTTTAGCTGCTACTCACTTTAAAGGGTTCTCCATAAACGGACTCGCCTCCAGTACCTGTTCCTGTTGGGTCCCCACCTTGCACTATAAAATCTTTAACGACTCTATGAAATATTGTTCCATTATAATAACCTTCCATACAAAGTTGTACAAAATTGCGGCATGCTTTTGGTGCTTCTTTCGACCACAGTTCAATATCTATATCTCCGACTGATGTTACTAAAAGAACCTATATATGTAGAGCAGAATTAAATTTTATCATTTAGAAAATTATACATAACTGAAATATATACTTAAACAATATGACACAGTTTTTTAATTCTATCCCTCTGCTCATTGCTCATGTGACCAATGGATCTTTTTTTTCCTCTGGTTTTCTTCAAACTAATTCACCAAACAGTCTATTGCGATGTCCTATAAACTTTTATTCAACCTCAGTTCAAAATTAGTAAAAATCATCACAGCAGAATAATTTTTTCAGGCACAAATGCAGAGGTAAGAGAAACAAAACTCTAACTGCCCTACAGACTGTCCAGTCTTGAAGAGAACTTAAACTTTCTAAAATTCAGTTAAAAATTTTTTTTTAAATTTAATTTAATACTTGATAGAATCTAATAGTAATAGCCTACCTTCCCCTTGGTTGGTGGTTCTTGAATATATATGTTACTCATTCCTTTAACTAATGGGTATTAATGCTACACAAAAAAGATAAGAGTAGAGTTTCCAACATTATAAGCATTCTTAATGCACAATAAAATTATATGACTTATGTACATTATAATAATGATTATTGTACATTTACTATATTAGGCCTATATATTACTAAAGGCCCTATATATTAAATAATATTAAATCTATATATATAATTCTCTTCTTGGAGATTATAGAAAACACCAAGCTGTAAGCGCACCTAACAGCTCCCTCTCTTCCTCTCCAGGCATATCCCTACCACCCCACCCCCACATGGTCTGGTGAGCTGTGGTTCATGCTAAATTTTTACAATCATAGAGCCGGGTTTAGTGATGGCTATTAGGGCCAGATAATTTAGTTTGAAACGATTTTAAACTTAGGGGAGGTAACTAAGAGGAGGCTGCTTTCACGGGGGGGGGGGGGGGGTTTATAGTCCTTAACGAGCTACTGATAGTGTTTTAAAGCAAATATTTTCAGTGGCAGCATTGGTACTGTTGAATTCACAAATTATGAATTTCTGAAAAGTAGAAAGTAAAACAACTAAATAGCGGAGTATGATACGCCACGGATCGGGGGTATATATAATTCTCTTCATGGGGACCAAACAAGACACCACGCAGCTTAGCCATTCCTACCCCGATTTCTAGGCATATCGCTACCACCCCCATCCCCACCTGTCAGGTGAGCTGTAGTTCACCCCGAATGTTTACAATTGAAGTGACGGCTATTAGGGGCAGATAATTCAGTTTTTAAACGATTTGAAACTAATAACTGATCTCCCCTAAACTTTCTCTAATATTCTTATATAACACTACGGGAGATGGCACATTACAATATAGACATGATTTTTAATCCATTTTTAATTACTTAAACTTTTTAAAACAGAATACAATCTCGTAGAAAAAAGAATTGCACACCAAGTGAACGCCAAATAAAATGTGTATAATAGTGCGGAATATTATTAGTACTTTATAAATTCATACGTTTTTTTTTGAGAAATTGGAAATAGCGTAAACTACTACTTCCGGTCAACGGAAATTACTCAAAATTTGAAAGAAGGCAGAGAATTAGATCTTTTACTTACAAGTGAAATTTCATTTATCTATCTGAAACAGTACTCAAGTTATAGGCTTTTGAAAAATTGAAAGTAGTAGATTAAGTTCCACTTACAGTTATCGGAAATTGCTGACAAGTTGATACAGAACTACAAATTTGATATAATACTTATATATGAAATTTCATCAACCTAGCTGTAACAGTAACACGATACTCAAGTTATCTTGTTTACAGACACACACACACACGCACAACAGGCATATGGACAGAATTGCAAAGTCCAGTTTTTGCGACTGAATTACCCATAAAATGCCAAAATTTTGATATATCTGGATTTTTAATTTTTGCCCGATTAAAGTAAGTCCTCTATGCTCCGGATGTGATGAAGGACTGAGTAAAGCGGTGAAAACTGTCAAAATTCAAAATTTCATGTGATTTTTGTGCTTGATTACAATACTATCTCTATACTCTGTATACTACTGTACTGTATAGTATATAAGAAAGTAAAAATGGTAGGTAGTAGCAGGTAGTACTAGTAAACTAGTATGTAGGCCTATTAAAAATGTTTTCTGTTGAAAATTATTCGGCCAACAACTAAACAAGGCAACCAGTCAGTGAGTTAGTGAGTTACTGACAGTAGTAGTTAGGCTAAATAATAAATAAATAACAGGATAAACCTCAAAATTATCAATAATGCATGAAACAAGTGCTACAGGATCTCGTCTTTTAATTTATTGAAGTAACTTAAATAAAAGTAATGCAGAATGAGAATAGGATAAAACAGTGAGTGGAAATATTTTTTAGCGATAGATCAAGAAATAGTTTTAAACTGCTGGAAAATGAGCACACTGCTTACCGAAAAGACTTGATGCCAACAACATGAGTGTAGGAAGACGTTATTAAACAATAATAAGACTTAGATCTAGTATTACAAAAATAATAGCTTTAAAAAGCATATAAATCAATGAGCTATATACTATAATATAGCTATAATGACTATAATGTAAAAATGTCTATGATAATTTTACTAAAAATAATTGCACTACCTTCAAAGCCTTCAACAATCTTTTGTGTAACATTTTTTGGGTACTTAGTTCAACCGCAAATAAAAAATCAAAATAAAAGAAGTAAGGCAATAGTTAACTAACTTAGTATAGATTCTAGTACTAATACTACTAACTAGATCTAGATCTACTAATAGTGTAGTGTAAACTTTACCTCAATTCTTTCTACGTCTACCTTTTAGATCTAGATTAGATCTAGTCTAGATCTAGATTTTTCTAGATCTACGTAATCTTAAAATCGTTTTAGTTATTAGTGAACTTATTAGTTTATTAGTAGGCCTACGTAAAAAAAATCGGGTAATCTATCGTTTTGGGTACGTAGTAAAATAAATTAAAATCGCCCGCGGCTTCTAGATTTCTAGATCTAGATATAAATCTAATGTACGAAGAAGTTACCTCATTGTCAAGGCTTTAATAGAAGTATATTGTGATATATTTGTGTCAAATATTGTAGATGAATAAATAATAAACCTAAATGATAAATCAAGCATCAATGGCTAAATTTTACTAATTTTAGTAAATAATAGTAAATAGGGCCTATATTAGGCTTTTTGATGAGAATTACAGAATGATTTTTTTATTAAAAATGTATCAATAATAGCTTGCACACTAGTAAACTAAGCCAATTTAGCATATTTTAACTTTCTGTGCAAAGTCATTATTACTGAAAAAAATTCCAAAGTCAGGTCAGCCTGTGGCACCCTCCACTGAACATGACAGAAGGAAAAAAAAACTTGACCCGTGACCTTCATTAAAACAGAATTTGCTTTTGTTTTTTTTTCATTTTTAGTAAATATGTGCTTAATCTTACCCAATAAGTGATAAAAATTTGAAAATTAATTTTAATTACTGTTGTAAAGTGAGATAAACAGCTTAATAAACACGTGTTTTCTTGAGGGGGTGTGGCACATCCCGACATCGCATTGTTTGTAACTTTATATTTGTGTTTTATGACTATATTTGTTCACAATCAGCATGCTATGCTTTTAATTTTGATAAAGGGTAAGTATACCAAGTTACAAAACCTGAGTTTAGGTGTGACATAAAAAACAGTCATAAATCTAGCCGAATGATTGGATTCTTGCGCGTCACACATTTTCCCGCGCTTCGTGTTCACCAAAAAAGATTATAATAAAATGGCATTATTATTCTTACAGAGCATATCTCATGCCTACCATAAATTATTACCAGTTTATTGTAACGTGTGTAAAATTAATGCTTTCAAGTAAAAAATAGCAATAGTCTGGTTAAAAATACCTGCGGTATTTTATAGTTATTTGATTCGAAAGATAAGAATTATATAGAGCTACTTTCACTAAGGCGCCGCTTGCGAGACAAACATAGAAATTAGGCCAAAAGTAGATCCGACAATTCTTAAATAACAGACTTAAATAGAAACGGATAGTTCTGATTTCTTAAATTAACGATGGCTTCGTAATCATTAGTTTTATCGCTCTACCCATTAGTGAAAGCGAAACTGGTCGCCATTTTCGGTAAGCGCATGAGCCGTGAGATGGCTTCAAAACAACAAACCCGGAAGCTGTGAATTCGAACGGCCTAGCCTATATCAAATATGTTAATTAATATGAGTCAGAAATTTACTTTAAACACTAAACAGCAGTGTTTGCGAGTAAGATTTGCTATAGGCCTATACTATAGTTACAGTAACTATATAAACAGCGGCATAAACTATAACAGTAAAATAGAGTGGCTTCCCCCTGAATCTCGCGCTATAAGTATAAGTTTACAAACAAAACGTAGACAAAATGGCTGCTATAGTACATGAGCATGGTTGCATCTGTTGGAAACATCGCTGGTCTTCATTTATTACTGAAAAGTTTTTATTCAATTGTTTAAAAACAGGTGCATAAATGAAACAAGGAAACATTTTTGTATTTTTCAAAATATAAATCCTCCTCAAATGTGAAATAATTATTAAAATTTAAGGAGTCACCTGTTTTTCACATTACTAGTCGCGTGCGATTTTACGTACCCAAAATGATAGATTACCAAAAATCGGCAGAGACTAGATCTAGATCTAGGGTACTTAGTTCAATCGCAAATACAAAATCAAAATAAAAGATTGACCTGTGGTCAACTCATAGTAGTTGCCGTTCAGGATGCTCTCTGTTTTTTTTTTTTTTTTTTTTTTTTTTGCTTTATTTTTAAATTTTACTTGGTAATAATGACTGTTGAACTGTTTTAGCGTTAGGTTTTGGGTTAGGTATACGATTTAGCCAGATTCCAAATATGGGCTGTGGCTATAATGAACCAGGTTCTAATTCTAATGCATCGTTTTCATATCACAAATGACAAACAAGACTAGCATACAAAGGAAAAAATGTCTGGCAACAATATCTTGCAGGTTATCTAAATGTATATTTCTGCAGCTTGGTTTCACAATTTATTTTTTTAGTTGTGCATATCCAACTTATATAGTGAATGTCCCAGTTAAACTTCTAGTTACCCATAAATATGTACTTTATACATTACAATTTAACAAAAAAATAAATTTAAGATTTATATTACTATTTAATTCAGACTGCATGCACAGACAACATTCATTATATTTTATAGAATAGATGGCAAAATGTAGTTTGGGAAAAATTCCTCCCAACATTGTCCAACAATGGACTCTTCCAAACATAGTGATAGATTGTTAGTAGGATTGTAAAACCAGTTATATGTCTGGGGAAATTGCGAGACGCGAAAAGCGAAATGGCGAGGCGGGAAAATGCGAGAAGGGCGCGAAAACGGTCGGTCACGTGACTTTTTTGTCTCGCATTTTACCACAACCCGATACTTACACTGGGTGGTGTTGAAATGCGAAGATTTCTGCGAAAAATTTACAGCACCCGATTTTCAGTAGTATTTGGTCCAGACTTCAAAGACGTTTCGTTTACATTGTTAAAACTTCAGATTTTTCCGTCGCTAGACATACTGATGATTTGTCAACTCCCTCCCCCCCCCCCCCCCCCCAATCTTTTGTGTCGACTTAGAATACCACCTTGTTCGAAACCGACGGAAATACTGCCGACGATAGATCAACTTCTTTCTTTTGTGTGGAACGCCGAAGCCGCCGAAACCGTCTTTGAAGATCGCCGTGCCGCCGCAAACATATTGTGTATTGTTGCATAGAAATGTGTGACGTCACACTATAAAAAAGCAATGTTAGAAAAAGAATTTTAGACGTTTTTCATGTTTTAGAAAACTGTTTTCATAAATTGTAATAGGAATTGATTAAAATACAGAAATTAAACAAGATTTTGGGAAAATATCGATGTTTTAAAAAAAATTCAACTGAATTTTGAGGGGGGGGGGGGGGGTTGTAGACTGAGGTGTGACGTCATTTTAGTGGGAGGGGGGGGGGTCTGGATTTTTGTGAAAATGTGTGACGGAGGGGAGGGGGGTAAAAATTGTCATTTATGGATGACCCCTTTTAGCTATTAAATGGTAGTTTCGTCCATAGCGGACTTTATTCAGATTATCTACAGACGCACATTTTTTTTCCATTATGTTCATATTCGTGTTCTGTGTTAGCACAGTATAAATGGGAGTCTAATGAACTGGTGGGTTGGATGTACTATGTGTGAAAGATGGTGTGACGAGGTGTGTTTGATTAATGCTAGGACTGTTTCAGAAGATTTTGTTTGTAAATTTTGTTTGTAATTAAAATTACTTAATAAAAAATAAATTACACTTTTAAGAATTGTTTATACTTTTACACTTTTTGCAAGTACAACAATCCATGAATACATGTTGCAGAATATCTCTCCTGCTGACAAAATTATACCAATTCACAATGACACAGCTCACGTTTGTATAAACATGAGCGGGCTAGATTTTTAAAATTAATGCAGACTGAAACGGGATTTTCCTCTCGCTAACGAGAGCGGGCGATGACAGTAGCACAGCAACGATGTTAGGATTTTTTAATAGATCTAGATCTAGATATAGATCTATCTATCTTCTTAGTATCTATCTATCTATATATATATATATATATATATATATATATATATATATATATATATATATATATATATATATATAAAATCTAGATAAAAAATAACAACATACAACACTCGTGTTAAAGGGTATGGCTACATGCTAGTTTATTTTAAAACAAAAAAAAATAATTTAAATAAATAAAGATGAAATAAGCATGAAAAAATTTTTTTTTCGCAAAAAGTGTCTCGCTATTTACCCTTGATTCCGCAGGTATGTCTCGCATGATCTTCTCGCATTTTCCCGCCTCGCCATTTCGCTTTTCGCGTCTCGCAATTTCCCCACAAGGATAAAATCACATCCCTCAATAAGTTTTCACACAGTGAATCATTAGTATATTTATTAGTGAAGATCAATTACTTTCTTCATTCAACTCAACAACAGTGACAAATATGCTAAAGTTTTTATTTTTAAAAGCTTTAATAGATCTTAACAATATTGGTCATTTCAGTTTCAGTGTACATTTGAATGTTGGTCAAATCACAGGTGTAATTCAAGATAGCCCCATAATACTGCAGAAATATTTAGAAGTCACCCTTCTTATCAATGGAGTTTCAAGGTAGACATTGTAAATCATTTATTTTAAAAATCATCAAGATATAAATTTAAATTTTAAATCATATAAATCATCACTAACTATAAAATTGTTTATAATTATAATTCTTTAATTTGTGTTTTTACAATGGTAATAGACTCAAGCATGTATTAATTTTGCTTTTCCAATATAAATTAAATTAATAGTCACATTCATTAGATTCCATTTGCATATATCTCTGTGTTGTAGCATCATTATTATTATTAATTAATTTATTGTCCTCATGAAACTGAAATGTTGTTCAAAGCTACCATTGAGCAAGATTTTCTATTTGTTTATTTAATGTATGTTTCTATTTTCATGACAGGCTACATAACAAAATTTGGTTTTGGGAAATCTACAGACAATCTAAGGACCGTTTGCAAAAAATGTGGATATGGTAAGTATTTTATCTAAATAATACAATAATAGTTAGACAATAATTGATTATTCTGGATAAGTTAAACTAGATGCTGTAATGAGTGTTGTGGGTTATTAGATTATACATTGTGGTCATCATTATTTGTAGTTGTTTGCTTATTCAAGTTATTGTGAGATCCAAAAGTAATTGGTGTTATTAGAATGTAATGATGCAATGTAAATATGCAGATTGCTAGTTAAAAAATTCAGGCCCTATTTGTCAGTTTGTGGTAGAGTTAAGCGTTGTTTTATTATTTATGAAAAATATGTCTCTTTAGTGTGTCTGTAGGAATACGCAGTGTCATTTTATTGAATTGGTAATAGACAAGAGACTCATTTAACTTAAGTATAAAATCAAAGACTGGTTATCTGAATAAAAGGCTTAGGCAGAACCTGTATTAAGTCATTCTCATGGTGAAGCTTAAATCTATACATATTACCACAATAGTGGTATGATATTATGTTATAAAAAGGCATGTGACTGTTAGAATACGAGAAGCTGTTAAATAATTTTTGTAGTCGACTGGCAACTGTTCTTGTTCGTTGTTGTAGTGTGCTTCTCTATTTCAAAATATATAATGTGTAACTACATTGTCATCTTAGTCTAAAAATAATATGCTTAGTAAATTATATGCTAGGTTGCAAATGAAATTAAATAGAAATCAGTGCCTTAATAAATAGCTTTTAAAATAATTTTTTAATGATGATTATAGTTAATAGAACGTGTCTTACATTTCAGCTGGTCATTTGACCTATCAATGTAGAAACTTTTTAAAGGCCGACCCAAGCAAAGAAGTTGTTCTGGATGTAAGCAGCACAAGCTCTGACTCTGATGATGAGCCTTTCATTTCTCCACTCACTAAACTAAATAAAGGTATTCAGAGCCTTTCATTTCTCCACTCACTAAACTAAATAAAGGTATTCAGAGCCTTTCATTTCTCCACTCACAAAACTAAACCAAGGTATTCAGAGCCTTTCTTTTCTCAACTCACTAAACTAAACCAAGCTATTCAGAGTCTTTCTATTCTCCACTCACTAGACTAAACCAAACTATTCAGAGCCTTTCATTTCTCCACTCACTAAACTAAACCAGGGTATTTAAAACCTAGCTTACATATTCTGGACACTGTAAGGGATTCTGTTTGAATCTCTGGCTATATGTTTTAGAATAGATCCTTAAAGTTTTAGAAATTTCTTTGTAATGCAAAAGTATAAAGTATATATTTATAGAATGTGAAATATTTATTCAACAGATGAAACCAAAGGCAATTCAGAGGAGCAAAGCAGCCTAAAACATGCACATAAAAAGTCAAGAAGGTTAGTATGAAAATAACTCTTTTGTATACTTTTATTATTCCATTTATGACATCCATATGGATATACAGGGGCTGGGATCTGAAGAAGTCAACTTCTGTGAATGCATGTCCACTGGGAGTGGGGAGTCCAGGCATTGAATTTTTAAATACCAAAATAATAATATGCTGCTGCTTAAAAATATTTAAATAAAATTAAAAACATATAGATTCTAAATCTAAATGGCTGGTGTTTATTTTTTTTAAAGATGAAACTAGCCTAGTAAAGCTGAAGAAAACAATACTTTTTAATTATTTTATTTCTATACCAAAAATAAATGTTAAATACAAGTCACACTCATCATTTAATAATAAATATAAAAAAATTTTTAATCAACTAATTATAGATTCAAAGTTTAAAAAGATAGCAGAAAAGAATAAATCACTATATCAATTAATCATTTATTATCATTGCAAGATACAAAATGTGTTATTGAATATATTTATTGGAAATCAGTTATGACTTAAATTTGTGTGGTGTAATAGAGGTCCAAAAGTATGGGGGAGTGGGGATTTAAAATTTCAATTTTTGAATGAGCTCTATAACAATTTCTGTAATTAAAGTTATTGTAAATGAATTACTTTTGTTTTTTAAAACTTGTTTGTGTTCATAAGCTGGTAATTACTCTGTTATAATTTAAAACCACTTCAATTTGAATGGTTAATCATATTTTAAATAAAGCTATTAGGATTATAGATAACACATCTCATTCAAATGAATAGGGACGTATAAATATAATTTTTGAAAATTCATTTTTAAATTCAGTTCCAGGTCAAAAAAGAAAAAGAAAAAAAGTAAATCTGGCAAAGAAAAAAAGAAAAAGAGATCGCCCAGTAGTGATAGCTGCTCGTCACATGATAAAAAAAAACTAAGATCTTCCAGTAGTGAGGACACTGATGATTCTGCTTCTGAATCTGATGGCAAAATCAGAAAAAGCAGGAAAAAAAGTAAAAAGCGGGCACATGACCACTCACCACATCATGAAAAGAAATCAAGATCTTCAAGCAGTGATGAGACTGATGAATCAGATTCTCAATCTGATGAGAAAGACAGGAAAAAAAGTAAAAAGCGTATGCATGGTTCATCGAATCGCTCAGATCATGAAGAAGAATCAGACCATGATAGAAAGAGGTTGCGCTACAATACTCACAGCGATGATGAAAAAGATTCCAAAACACACAGCAGGGATTATAAGAAAAAAAGAAGCAAGAAAAGTAAAAAACATAAAGAAAGAAGACATAAAAAATAGAATTTAGGCTGGTACATATCTAATGCTATTTTTCTTGTAAGATGAAATAAAAAGTTACTTAATATTTCAGGAAAGATTATTTTTTTAAATAAACAAAAATGCTTTTAATTAAAATGAACAATTTATGAGCTATATATTTAATTTTATCAAGTATTAATATTGTTTAATAACATTAAAACTAAGTACACTTAAAAACAATAATTTAAAGCTAATGAAAACTTTATCTAGAAAATATTGTAATTGCTGATGATTTCAGACCATCTTACTGTCTTCCTCATATTTTATGGATTGGTTTTGCTGTTCTTAATTAAACCAGTTTAACATATGACGCATTATCTATTAATTCAGCTGCAAGTAAAAAAAATTAAATATTAAAGGATTTCAGACAATGCCTTTATAAAAAGCAACATTCCTGACTTTACTTTAGTCTGCTTTATTTCAGGTCTCCTGCTTTTATTGACATGTATTTTTCTTGAAGTTTTGGAATATTTTAATATGTGTACACTGTAAATTAATCACCAAACTAATTAGAATAATGATTATGTTTGGCAGGATTTAGGTCATATTTTTAAAAAAAGTTTTTTAATAAACTTTTTTCCTTCAATGGCTTTTGTTTTGCTTAATTAAATAATTTTGGCTAAATATTCTTCTTTTTTAAAAGGCTCATGCTGAAGAAACATTTTAGCTTATGAATTTATAATAAAATGTAATATGTTAAAGAAATCATTTTTAAAAAAAGATGATGAAAAGCTGCAGTAAATTATCTAGATCTAGATTTTCCGGTTATTAGTATGACCTAAAATTTTTGTAACTCCAGAAATACTTTTAACTTTCGTTTCTACTTTTTCTAGATCTGGAAATTATACAAGTAAGGATCTAGTGTAGGCAAGGATACTGCGTTAAAAACTGTTATTCTTTGCCATCTATGTTAACGTCTGGCCTAGCCCTTAGCAGTTCAGCATCGGCCAAGGCCCTAGTTTTTTAGAATCTTTCTATTTTTATTTTATCTCACTAGAATCTAGATCTAGACTAGATCTACTTCTGACGTGTTTGTGTTGTCTCTTTGTCTTGGTAACCTGGCCACCGCTGTAAATTTAAAATTAGATCTAGATCTAGTTAATATTTAATAGCCTAACTACTAACAACTAACTAGGCCTAATTCAAATTGTAATTTTGTTATGGTTTTTGCTTCTTGGCTGTCAATCGTCTACACACCCTCCACCTCAGTGCTGAGTCACTGAGTACAGTGAGTTATTACTCAAACTCCAAGTTACTGCATGTGCATAGGCCTAATTAATAGGCCTAATATTTATTATTTAATTAATAATAATAAAATAATGGAGCACTTTTAGTATTTTACACCATCTAAGATTCTAAATCTATAATATAATACTGACTATAAGTATAGCCTACACTACTAATACTAATTTAATTAATTACTTAAGCTAGGTTGTCGCTTGAACTACTTTTTACTTTTTAAAGCTGTTGCCAACTGTTGCCTTGGTAATATGGCTGCCAGAAAATAACAATCCACCTTTTCTTTCATTTTTTTTACAAAGTTGAGCGGCCATTTCAAAACTAGAGATCTAGATCTATAATCTAATCAGGGTTCTCCAAACTACGGCGCGCAGGCCGGATGCAGCCCGCGAGGTCCTCTCATCCGGCCCGCAGAGATTTTTTTGTCCACGGAAAAAAATGTTTGTTGGAGGTGGCTGAGGAACTTTGTCCAGAAAATTCAAAACAATTTGGAAATTATAGCTTTGGGTGCAACTACCGTTGCCAACCATATTGCAGACATTGGTAAAATCATTGTGACCCAAATACCGAAAAATGCAAGCAAGTTTCGCAATTTTTCAATTGAGTCACTTCTTGTGTTTATTGGAGGTGTGAATGAAGACATGAACATAACACAAAAGCTGGCTTCCTTACATAGCATGTATGACACTGTTACCGGAGATGATATATTCAATGAGTTCTTGGAAAATAAAGCAAGTCGCTGTCATTAATGTCTGATGAAAAGTATAGAAATTGGCCTCTACTGCAAACATAACACGTCATTTAAATTTTCTGAACCTAAAATTTTCTGGAAAAAACTCTGGCCCCCGAATCGATTTTTGATAGTTAATGCGGCCCTCGGGCTGAAAAGTTTGGAGACCCCTGATCTATATTAATATATATAGTAGTATATGTATCTATATATATTGTAATAATTAGTTTCATCAAGCATATTCTACAACAGAAAAGATCAGATTATTTATATTAATGATTCATTAGTAGAATTAATGTTTTGTGTTTACAATGCAATTTTCCATCTGTGGTTTATTGGTTTATTAAGCTGAGTACAAGGTTGCAGAAGAAAATGTAAGAAATAGCATCTCTTTGCATAAAATAATTTATTGATAAACTTATCTTAAATGTTAAAAATATACCTGAAAATGAAAAGCATGAAAATAATAAGTTGATCCAGACAACAGCCACCACTAAGCCTTCTATTTAGCCTGCCTTTCTTTGAATGGAAATAATTCAAGCAGACTACACATTTCTGCCAAATGATCTATAGCGTCACAACAATACTCCTTAAAAGCTAACCACCCGTATCAGTTATAGCATCGTAGCCATTTAAAATGAAAAGTGTTTTTTCAAAAATAATTTTCTAGGCTAGAAAATGTAGTTTCTGGTTGTTTTAAGCCATCTTGAACAATAGTGAAATTTAAAATCTTAGGAGACACCATAAATTTAGTCCATGTCCAACCCCCATCCTGATGGTACCCCACCTTGAAGTAGTGGGATGGCTTGTGTGCCCCAGCGACCCCCAGAGCTATGCCGGTCAGAGCCGTGTGCTTCTGGCAGGTTTAACCAAGTTGGACAGATATGCACGGGAAGGAGTCAGACCAAACATTCTGCCCTGGTCTTCCAGGTTGAGCTAACTACATGTCCACGTAAAACAAAGCATAGAGAAGTAGAAGTCAAATCTGAAATTAACACAGTCCTTGGAAAAACCAGGGATTGTCTACCTTGGCAGCATGATCAGCAAATCTGGATGACATACATGCTAGATATATAGAGCCTGCTGCGCTTTCACAGTTCTGCGACCCATATGGAAAAATTCTGCCATCTCCAACACAACAAAAATTAGGATACTTAACTCAAATGTCAAGGCAGTTTTGCTATATGGAGCAGAGACATGGAGAGGCTCCAAGGCAAGCACAGAGAAGATACAGACCTTCATGAACAAATGCCTTAGACAGATTTTGAAATCTGTCTGTGGAAGGACAAAGTGCCGAACATAGAATTACGGAGAAAGGCAAGGCAAGAGCCTATGACAGTGCAAATAAGAAGGAGGAAGTGCCGCTGGGTGGGACACACGCTGCGAAAGGCTCACCCAAATGTGACATGTCTGGGAAAGAAGGGAGGGTGCCCAAGACCGACCTGGAGGCGGAGTCTTCTCGAAGAACTGAAGCCAGCAGGTGCCCCAGGGTGAAGTGTCTGAAAGAAACCCTGTATAATTATATTGAATATTGTACCTAGATATATTTGATTTTGCCTAGGCCTATAGATCTACATTATATTTTATATTATATACATTGTATACTTTGTTATATAAACCTACTATAAGGCCAAACACTCTTAATACATATCACTTAAGTCTGAATCCTTACATAGTGTGATATAGTTTATGGTGACCCCCCAAACTTAAACTATTTCAGTATTTGGTTGTCTGCAAAGTCACCTGTTGTCAATGGCATCTGCCCAGTTGACATGGACAAAAACTTTTTTTTCATTTTTTCCTCTAAGTATAAGTAGCCTTGCAAATTAAATATTACACCTGAAATTTATTTTTTATCAGCACCAACACAAAATCTATATGCACAATCCCTAAATAGTTTCTAAGCAATCATTACTTTATTTTAATATCTTATTTATAATATTTAAGAAAAAACATCTAATATTATGATAGCAACATTGTTTCTTTTTTTTTTAAGTTAAGTTTAGAGGTCATTCCTAGCTAAACTCACAGAGGCTTCATTTTTTTTTACGTTCAGTAAATATATCTAATAAATATGTATCATATAATTTATCTAGCAATGAGTTAAGTTATAGCCAGAACTACTTTTGCTTGAAATCAACATTGCCTTAGCATGAAATCATAGTCAGGATACCACAGCGATCTTTTATAATGGCTCTGCTGTAATTGGTGTACCTAAGATATCTAATGTCCCTGAAGGTAAGATGGGTGAAATGTTTGTTTCCAAAGTTTCTAGTCAATGGTACAGGCTTCCTATTAAAGCAGTTGCAAATCTCTACTCTGAGCATGTTGGTTTCTTCTCTTGACTTCAGTTTGTTCACCAATGCAAAACATTTAACATTATATTAAAAGCTGTATTCTCAAGATCAATTGTTCAGAAAACAAATGTGATTGTTCATTTGTGTTGTAACAGCCTGGCTGTTATATGTGCTGACTCAACACATCATTCTCCTGTCCTAAAAGTGATCACTTGACAATATCATGTGGCACTAACTTGTTTATCATTCATAACTGAAGTGGAACAGATAACACAATTATAAAATCTTTTACACAGTAAACAATGTAATCTATTGAGATGACTAGTTGTCTGGACAAAGACTCTTATGTAGTGTCTGATAACTCTTATACAAATAATACATATAGACTACCACATACGCATAGTCATTTAAAAATTTTGCTTACATATAGGCCTATATATATATATATATATATATATATATATATATATATATATATATATATATATATATATATATATATATATATATATATATATATGTGTATATATATATATATATATATATATATATATGTGTATATATATATAATAGAATTGAAATTCATGTACTGAAAACAACTGACAACTCGCTACCCTAGAACCACTTTTTAAACTATTATTTTTTAATGCACTGGTATGTTCTAAATCTATTAAGGCATCATTTCAAAAAAATGTATGGCCATATCTTTCACCATTATTAAACAATTCCATTTTACAAAGCACTTAAAATAAAAACAAAATTTTGAAGTGCAATGAATATTTTAAAAAACTGTGTATATATATATATAGTCATTTAAAAATTTTGCTTACATATAGGCCTATATATATATATATATATATATATATATATATATATATATATATATATATATATATATATATATATATATATATATATATATATATATATATATATATGTGTATATATATATACTCACACACACACATGTAAATAATTATGTATTTCTTTATACACACTGTTTCATGGGTGTATGATGGACTGTGTGTAAATAACATATCTTGCATAACATCCAACCAGCGCAGTTCTGCCTTATCTAGAATAAACATCTTGTTGTTTGTCATTACCTACAAATAGCTTTATTAGAACATTGTTCTGTGGTCACTTTAAAATAAATTCTTCAACAGAGTTAGCTTATTTGTATTGTATTAGCATGTAAGTATACACTTCAATGCAGAATTATTTGTGTGTTATAACTGTTGTCCATTTTTCAAGCTTGAAAATTCCTGTGTAGTGTTCATACTATAAAATGCTGTAAGGTATCATAGTATTGCCTCATCCGCTAATTTTTAATATAATTAAAAGCTATTGATTTTATACTGTTTTTTGTTAGCTTAATATGTTTCTTAAACTCATTTAACTTTTAGATAGCAAGTTGAGCAATCTGTTGCCAGACACATATATAGGCAGTTTTTAAGAATGTTCTTGGTGTTTCTTTGCCCAAGAACATAACTGTCAAGTACACCATGTTGGAGATAAAAATTGTTTTATAATTGAATCACTGAGTATAGTAATAAACTTCTAACATAATATTAATTATTTTCATTGATAAGGTATTTAGACATAATGAACAAATATTGGTAGAAATGTAACCTGCTTGTTAAAATGTCATACAGTCTTAAAAAGTTTCAGTCATTTCTCTTAGTCATCTTTTTCTTTATGGTTGACAGTCCAATTTTAACATATTTTTTTCTTCATTGCAGTTCACTACTCTTTATTTTAAACAAGTAAAATGGCAGCTCCTGGAATTAAGTTAACTTGGAATGTTAAGAAGGAACAAATAAATGTTGATGCAGAGGGACTGATGAAGCGTATGAAAGAAGTATATGATGCAATTGGAGCTCTGTCTAATGATGATGCCAATTATGACAATGTTGTTAAGGTAAATTTAAAATTTATTTGACAACTTCTAAAAGAGCAGGTTAGAAACAGGAAACATAGTGTCAAAAGATTTTTTTTAAAAATGTTCTCAAGAACTAATTGAGCCAATGTTTCAAACTTTTTTAAAAATCAGCCTGCGGCAGATAGTGATTGCTGGTATGCTGTTGAGAGAAACAACTTAGACTTCCTGCAGCATGTGTCGCCAGATAAAGAACTTAGGGATGCCAGTGTGGATGCTGACAAAAAGATGTCTGAATTTGATGTAGAATTAAGGTTTGTAAGCTCCAGACAATACCACTGTGTTTTTTTCTATTTCTATATAAAAATTTAGTATCATGTAGATAAATACATTTCAATTTATTCAATTTACTTTTGAGTAAAAGTTAACGGGTACATATTCAGCAGAATATTGGTATTTGATGTTCATTTTTAGCATGCAGCAAGATGCTTTTGAATCCTTTGTTGCATTGGAGACAAAACCAGATTTTAAATCATGGAAGCCTGAAGCTCAACGCTTTGTTGAACGTGTCATCAAGACCGGAAAACGCAATGGTAAGCATAAAACTTATTCTCTGTGTTAGATCCGTATCAAGTTCATTGTTGAACCAGAGCTAACCTACTGGAAAATACTGTTAAGTTATATTAATAGCAATTTAAACTTGTTTGTATTCTCCATACTGAAGCAAAAAAAAAGTATAATCAATATCTTGCAAAGTCCTTTAAGCGTTTTGTTTTTAAATAACACATTTTTTTTTTTCTTGTAGGCTTACATCTCCCAAAAGAAACACAAGAAAAAATTAAAGCCATCAAAAAACGAATGAGTGACTTGTCCATTGATTTCAGCAAAAATTTGAATGAAGAAAACACTGTCCTCGAATTTACAGAGAAAGAACTAGGTGACTTGTGGTCAAAAGTATTTATTTGATTAAAAGATAGTTTAAGTTGGGCTGGTTCAGGCTGTAGCTAATTAACGATGTGAGGTTGAAATATCAGATGCTTTTGATCAAACAGATGAAGCTGAGAGTTTTCAACTACTAAAAAGTTTTATTTTGATGCCTTTGTTAAAGCTTTAAATATAGTGAAACTAATACTCTTCTCTTTCTTCTTTATAGATGGCTTGCCAGAAGATTTTATTAAAAGCCTAGAGAAGGTAAATTTGAATTTTAAAGGTTTCATCTGACTTAAATTATATGCCGTCTGCTAATTAATATTACCTTTGTGAAATTGATTGCTGCAAAATGCTAGAAACAATATGCATGTATTCTTCTTTCAGGGCAGTGAAGGGAAGTTGAAAGTAACGTTAAAATATCCACATTACTTCCCGTGCATGAAAAAAGCCAGAAACCCTGAGACCAGAAGAATAATGGAGACAGCTTTTAACTCTAGGTGAGGCCTATGAAACATGCTTTAATTCATTTTACACACAAAATTTTAGTTCTACAGAAATGTCACTATTTTTATGCTAAGCACAATAGTGTTTGATTCTGTTATTGTTATCTTAATTTTATGCTAGTTAGAAATTAATGAATGAGAGAAAAAAGAAATTTTGAAAAAATAATAAAGAGAATGTTAAGTAGACCTGTACATTATTAGAATTATTATGAAAACAATCTTTAAACTGTTAGTCAATGTAACCATCAAATACATTTAGAAGATATTACAAGTTTTTTTTGTTTCCTTTTCAAACCTGACGGTCTATAGGGCAAGTGAAGTAGAGTTCACTTGTTTCTGTGACCTCAGCATATGAAGAGTTAGTGTGGTCAGCACTATGCCCAGCCGCCTTTTCTTTACCTAACGTGAGTTAGGTACCCATCAGAGTTGGGTGGACTCAGGTCTACTGACTGAACCCGGATTCGAACTCGAGACTTACGGGTTAGCAGTCCAGCTCTCTACCGCTAGACCACTCCGTCCCTATTACAAGTTTGCTTATACACAAATATTTGTTTCAGATGTATAAAAGAGAACACTCCTATACTGGAAGAATTAGTCAAGCTGAGGCATGAGGTATGATATAAATGTTTTGTAAATTTAATTTTGTTAAGGAATAATATCGATTGAGTTTATAATGAATTTTCAAATATTTTCCCCCCAGAAATCTCAGTTGCTAGGATACCCAACACACTCACACTTTGTTCTAGATATGCGCATGGCTAAAACTCCAGAAACTGTGGCACAGTTTCTCGCATCTCTTGCAGAGAAATTGAAACCTCTGAAAAATGAAGAAATGGCTTTGTTTCTTGCTTATAAAAAAGAAGAGGTATGATTATTCTTTCTTTAAAAAATGCAGGAATCCAAATGTATTTGAATAGGAATTTTTTTAAAGAATGTTGAACTGCATGAATTTTTTTTTTACAATTTGCTTGTTTGGGGGTTGTTTATTTATTATACTTGAAAGCATTTCTCCCAACGGTGAAATTAGAAGAGCATAGACTTTTCTATAATTGAGTTTTTTTCCATATTTACTAAACTGTTTTAGATCCCATGTTATTGTTAAAAAGTTTCTGGTGTAAACTAAATGTCCCAATGAATTCCAGTGTGAAAAATACGGATATGAATATGATGGTGAAATCAAGAACTGGGACCTACGGTACTACATGACAATGGTGGAGGAAAAGAAATATGCTGTGGACCAGCAACAACTGAAAGAATACTTCCCCATGTCGGTGGTAACACAAGGACTTCTGGACATTTACCAGGTTTGTGTTTATAGCTTTCTGTCTATTTAAATGGTTGCATCTTTGGCTAACTGCTCTTGAAAAGTGGCACATATGTTTATTCTGTGTTACCATAAGTAAAAGTGTTAAATGATTGATTGGTTATAAAAACAGGTGTGAAAAGTAATAGAACGTATGTCAGAATTTGATCTACAGAATTGCTTTGTGTTTTTTTTTACTTGATGTGAGAAACAATAACTTCATGTGTGTGTGTGTGTATATATATATATATATATATATATATATATATATATATATATATATATATATATATATATATATATATTTCATGCGAGTTTCCTTTGAATCTGACAGGAATTATTGAGCTTGACTTTCACACAAATACAGACAACTGATGTTTGGCATGAAGATGTTACACTGGTAAAAATATTTTTACATTTATCAATTTATGTAATTAATTAAAATCAATTTGAATTCTGCTTTTGGGTGGTATAATACTTATCGGTTTAAGCTAGTGCATTTTGTTGGTTCTGTGATAGGCATTTTATTTTACTTCTGATTTTTCTCTTCTTCGTAGTATAGTGTACATGATAAAGTATCCAATGACCTTCTGGGTTATTTTTACCTGGATCTACATCCCAGAGAAGGAAAGTATGGACATGCAGCCTGTTTTGGTTTACAGGTATTTAATGTTTGATCACATTTAGCTCACAGTTAGGTTTAACTTTGTTTCATAATTTTTGTGATTGTTCATGTTTTGTGTGTGAATCAAAATCACAGAATCAACCAGCAAGTTTTAAGTTTTTAAAATTAAACCAGATGTTTTTTGTTTTGTTAGCCTGGGTGTGTTGGTCCAGATGGTTCTCGTCAAGTAGCTGTAGCAGCAATGGTGGCAAACTTCACAAAGCCCACAGCTGACCAGCCTTCTCTCTTGACTCATGATGAGGTACATCTACTTATCTTCACATTGCTTTATTATACATCAGGAAATTTTACATTTTATGAAGTACACTTTATTAATCATCCCAGTTAGTAAAACTAAATGTATATACTCATTTTGTTCCGTAGGTGTTAAATTAAAATATTTTTATTCGTTTAAAATGATACACTTGTAATCAAATCTTGCAGTGGTGAAAAAAAGTTAAAATTTTCTTCTTTAGGTAGAAACTTATTTCCATGAGTTTGGCCATGTCATGCATCAAATTTGTGCTCAGGCTGAGTTTGCTCTCTTCAGGTAAGAGAACTTGATTGGATTATTCTATCAGCTACACATATATGAAATTGTACTTATGCAGATGTTGGTTTGTGCATCTCTCTCTAACAATGCTGCTGCTGATGGTGCAGTTTTGCCAACTCTTGCCAATTGCAATAGCGTGCCATTCATAACTGGATATTACAACTATTAACTATTATGAAAGGGTGAAGTTTAATTGTCTTTAAAACTAAAAAGTAAATTCACAATTTGCTTCCCCAGAATCAAATTGTTCTAATTTGTTTTTAAAATATTTATTGCACTTCAAAATTTTGTTTTTATTTTAAGTGCTTTGTAAAATGGAATTGTTTTATAATGGTGAAAGATATGGCCATACATTTTTTTGAAGATTTAGAACATACCAGTGTATTAAAAAATAATGGAGTTAAAAAAGTGGTTCTAGGGTGGCGAGTTGTCAGTACATGAATTTCAATTCTATTTAGGATTTTGAAAATTAATCTGTTTGCTCATTACCCCTTTGTCTTCTTTGCTAATCCTAGATACCTAATATTTCAGCAAAAAAATAAAATAACAATTATCATTGGCTTCTGATATTATCTAAAAATCAAAATCTAAATAATACCAGTAGTACTTTATCTCTTAATGTTTTAGTGGTACTCATGTTGAACGAGATTTTGTTGAAGCGCCATCCCAGATGTTAGAAAATTGGGTGTGGGAGAAGGAACCCTTAACCCGCATGTCAGCACATTACAAAGATGGGTCACCAATTCCAGATGATCTGCTTGAAAAGCTGACCCTCAGTAGGAAAGCCAATGCTGGAGTGTTTAACTTAAGGCAGATAACTCTTGGAACTTTTGACCAGAAAATTCATACCAGTCCCCAGGTTTGTTAACTAGTACCCTATTAATACTATTATTATTTTAACTTGTAACATGCTACCCAAAATATATATGGGACATTTCACATCCGTTTGTAAAGATAACAAAGTCTGGTTTTTTTTTTTTAAATTCATCATTTAATATATATAGGCCTACTGAAATAGCATATAAAATAAATAATTAACATATAATATGATTCAAACCACATCAGTTTTAACATTTGAAAATGCTAGAAGTTTTAAGAAATGTTTATAAATTTGAAAAAGGTACAAAAACATAATTTTCAAAAATGTAGAAGAATTTTCTATACAAATGTCTTCCTTAGGCTGATACAGCTAAAGTCTACGCTGAAACCAGTGAGGAATATATGGAAATAAAAGCCACACCAGGCACTAACATGGCAGCCACCTTTAGTCACCTTGCTGGAGGTTATGATGCCCAGTATTATGGTTACATGGTAATACTTTACAATTATTTCATCAGAACATACCCTAGTCAAATATAAACATAAATAAACAATTGTATTCCATTTTCACTTACTTTTTTTGTTACAACAAATGTTTTGTCTTTATTAATGAAAACAAAAATATTTAAAACTAAACACTTATTGTGAAAATAGATTAACTTATTTGACATCCTAACACCTTTTCTAGTGGAGTGAAGTTTTCTGTATGGACATGTTTGTGTCAAGATTCAAGAAGGAAGGCATCATGAGCTCCAAAGTTGGACAGGACTACAGGAAATGTATACTTTATCCTGGCGGCTCTTTGGTAATACATGTTTCTCATAACTTCTTGAAGTGTTACATAGTTCATGTGGACTTATGTAAAGTGATAAGAAAAATGTATATAACAATAGTTATAAAAAACATGTAGCCATAAGTAAATGTGTCAGAAATTATTTTATTTTTTTTTTGTAGTTTTCTCTACTAAATGTCTTCATTTTAAAAAATGTATTTACAGGATGCTGCAGACATGTTAAAAAACTTTCTGGGACGCGAACCTAATGAAGATGCATTTTTGGAAAGCAAAGGACTTAAGGCATAATTTCTCATATTTTAAAATGAACTAATTATTTATCATTAAATTTATTTATCTCCCAAACAGAATGTAAATTTATGCAGAATATATGTATTGAGTATAAATTTATAAATTATTCTGCTTTAAAATGGTTTGGTCATGTATCATTTTAGGCTATAAAAATTTGTTCACATGTTTTTGTAGGTGTAAGGTGTTATTTATTTTGCTATTGTTACTTAGGGCATTGAAGTAACCAAGAACTAACAACTAAAATCAACCACATTTATATCATTTGCTTTTTAATCTGGCAGCATATATTGTTGTTGGAAAAGTAACTCAGGACCATCAGTTGCATTTTTAAATTATTTTTTCCAGTTATGTTGTGATGAGGAATAAAACATTTTTGTTGCAAAGAAAATTCATCTTCTCTTATCTTTGTAAATTGTGAAAAAACACCAATTGCCGATTTTTTAATATTTCAAGTATTGATCTGTACTTTGACTATGTAGCTTCATTAGTAGAGTTGTAAACTGCAATTAATATTGATCCCGAGCCAGTAACAGGCAGTAAAGTTTAACTGTGTGTATACATATTATTTTAAGATCTGGTGCTTGAAAAAATCAATCGACAAATTTAGCTGTCATTTCCTGTTGAAATTTCTTGGCTTCATCTATCTGGTCTGTTGTACAGTAATCCTAAATTACAAAGTAAAAGACCATTTGAATGTCACATTATGTAATCTACAGAGATACATACTTTATAATGTTGCAGTGCATTATGTATTAACTTACCTGTAAAAATATTTGAGCAAGATTAGCCAACTGCTTATTACTGCTAGAAGAAATTCGCAGCATACATTCTACAATTGGTAGAATTGTGATTTCTTAGATAGAAAATTATAACAGGTTAAATTAAAAACAAGAAAAACTTGTATAACAAAGTGATAATAATTAATCCAAATAAATAAATAAATGGTGAAAGACAGGTAAATTAAAAATGAAAAGGCAATATGTAAACCCTACAGTTTGTTTATAACTATTATACTGTAGTGCTTCAAACTCACCTGCTTTGGATTGTGGTGTAACTAAAAACATAAGAGTTGTGATAGCTGACATGACTGTATTCTCTAATGGCCTGTAGAAGCAAGTTAATAAAAAATAACCAAAGATTTTATTTTCCGAATGCCAATAATTTCTATTTTCCTTAACAAAACAATTTTTATTAACAAAATACAACCAGGAGATATCTTGAAATTTAAAATAAAATGCTGTATAATTTTTTAAATTCTAATAATGAGAAATAAAAATAAAATAATTGTTTGGACTAGGAATGAAAATTATTAACAGAAAATACATTTTATGTAGGCAAAAAAAGAGAGAAAAATAGTCAAACCTTGAAAGACACTTTACTATAAGATCAACTCCGCCAGAGTTTAGAATGTGCTGCTTGAATTCTTTATCTGTTTGGTAAAAATAAATAACATTTTTTTCAGAAAGGCTTGATTTGCTAATTGTATTTAAACCAAACATTTGGTTTAACTATTTCTAACAAAAACAGAAAATGTTATAATTGGCTATGGTTTACTAAAAAAGTTTAACACAAAAAAGGTAGTTTTAAAACTAAAATATTTCAAACATAAAGCAACACACAGTGGTACATACCTAAACAACAGTTGCAAATACCACCTATTCCAAATTCAACTATGCGGTCATTGCTGTCTTCAAGGCAATCTAAAAAAAATTGTATTATATAATTTATATAATAAAGTATTAAATGTTACTGTATAAACATATGCCTTAACAATAAAGCATGTAATTTAACACAAGAACACAAGAAAAAATAAAACAATGAACCAGCAACAACATATAATATGTTGTACAGAGCCCAGCTTCTTAAAATTTTTCTCAGGGATTATAACCCCTCCTACCCTCGCCTATACCACTGACCATGATGTAAGCAAAAGCTAGTAAAATGAGCTGTTTAACTTACCAAGAAAGAGATCTACAATGTTTAATTTTTTAAAGTATTCATAATTGATAGGATCATAAGCAAAGTTGGCTAAATTTGCAAGCACTTGCTCTTTTGCCTCTGAAAATATAAAAGTACATGACTGGTTATTTGAATTCTTTAAGGTAGTTGTTTTGACAAATACAAAATATTTAAACATCATATTGGCTTTAGTAGATAGAGCCTAGCTGTGGTGTGGCAGCTTGTGTACAATGATGACCCCTGAAGCTATAGCACTGGGAGTATACACTCCTAGCAGGTTAAACCAGGCTGGGAAGTAGGGTTAGATAAATGGCTTTAGTAAAAAGTTCTGCTTACTCATATTGCAGTAATTTCTTATGCCTTGTTGGCATTTTTATGCTACCAGTGCCTGACATTAATCAACTCTTTCAAATTCAAATATAGGTGTTAGGTTGTAAGTAATATTGCAAACATCTGCTTAGATTTATAGGGCTAGTCCTATAATAAGACTTAGCTTAGGGTTTGAATAAGGATTTGCATGCAGTATGGTAATATTATTTAACTGCCCAGAGGGCATAGCCAGATTTTCAGGGCAGGGGGAGCTGCAAGGATATCAACAGTGCCATTTTTTCAACTTGTTATTAAAATTAGATCTAAGTCTAGTTGCCTGATCTGTACCACATTTTCTGGATTTACCAAGTAAAAATATTTGTATCATTTAAGGACAAAACTAGATTAACTAACATTGTGATTTTATCTAAATAATAACATAATTTCATTACATTTTTTCATTCCCTTACAGGCAATAAAATCTGCTTTAGCTCCCCACTAAAAATAATCTCTGTATTGGTAACAAGTATTACTTTTGTTAGATCTCAGCCAAGCAGGGGTTGCATTTTATGTCACATTTGACCCTGATGCCCCAGCACCAAAGAAATCAAATCACATAAATAACTCTACTCTATCTTCAAGATTTAATCCCTCCATAAAAACATGTAATCTTTTTGTCCTGCTAAACACTACTCAGGAAGCTCAGCTGTGTAATAAAGTTCTTGAGCTTTTCAATGCCATTTTTTTTTTGCAAAAGTCTTCAAGCACTAGATTATTACATTTTTTTTTAAAACTATACTGCTCAACTGCTAACTCAAAAGTTTTGAGTTTGGATCATGGGCTTGAGTCTGTAGGACTGTAGGATGTCCCTGAGTCCATTCAACTTTAAAAGGTACCTAACTCACATTAGAGAAAGTAAAGGCGGTTGGGCATTGCGCTGACCACACTATTTTTTCATATGAAAAAAGGCCTTTGTGCCTACAATTGTAACCGTTGTTTGAATAAATTTGAATAAATTTGAATTTGAATAAATTTAAATTTGCCATGGTTACAGAAACAGGTGAACTCTACTTCATTTGCCTCATGGGTAACCAGATTTTTAACATTTGAGAACAGTGTGAGGGTGAGTTATCAGTTATCATGAGTTATGTGATAGCAGATGCCAGATACTGATAGTCTAGATATCTAGATCTAGATCTAGAATCTACTAGACTTCTAGACCTAGATAGTTTCATACTCATAGAGTCATAGAGAATGTATAGTAAGTAGTAGCGACACAGTTCAAACTATAACACTATAATAAAAACTGACGGTAACGGTACCGAGATGCCATTTTTTGATGATTTTTTGATTTTTTAAACCAAATCAAATAAAGGTAAAATCTTAGTTTAGCGTCGTAAATTCCAACGTAGCTAGTAATGTGCGATGAAGGTAACTAATGAATATTTCTTTCATTTGGCCATATTTATGTCATATTTTACATAATATAACAGATAATTGAATAACAAATCACAATCCATTACCAAACCAGTCATAAATATCCTGGAATAAACTTTAAACTACCCCGTTTGAGACAACAATGAGGAAATACAAGCTGCGGCCATGTTTTGAAAACAATAAATTGTCTATTCGTATGTCTTTTGTGTCGATTTTGTGGTTTAATATGATTGTTTTGTATTGTTTTAATATATGCCTGGTGGTCGTCCATAAATGACGTCACATTCGTAGGGGGGGTCCGTAATTTTGTGACGTTGTGTGATGAGGGGAGAGGGGGAGGGGTTCAGATGGTGCGACGTCACACTTTTGCATTTTAAAAAAGCAATGTTAGAAAACGAATTTTATACGTTATTTTGCGTTTTAGAAAACTGTTTTAATACATTGTAATAACAATTGATTAAAATACTCTATTTTGACAGAGTTCAGACAAGATTTTGGAAAAATATAGCTGTTTAAAAACAATTCAACTGCAATTTTGAGGGGGGGGGGATTTGTAGGCTGAGGTGTGACGTCATTTTAGGGGGGGGGGGTCTGGCTTTTTGTGACGACGTGTGACGGAGGGGATGGGGGAGGTTAAAAAAGCGTGACGTCATTTATGAATGACCCTCTGTATAGTAATTTTTCTTTTTTTTTTTTAAATATAGTTGACATAAATGACTAATAGACCTTTTCAGACTTAATAGTGTGCATCCAAGACCACAACAATTGTTGGGAGGTCGAACTTTTGAACACTTTATTTGCAGTAAGCAAATCAATATTAGATCGCTCATAAATGACGTCGCTCTTAAGATAGTAATGACAGCGTGCATTATTAAAGAGCAACCATATGAACATATTGTTTCATATAGAAATTGTGATTTGTGGTGGGGAGAGGTTGAGTAGAACTCAGCGATGTGATTTTGGAGACGGGTCAGGTTTTTTTTTTCGTGAAAACAGGGGATGGTTGTGGGAGAAAGACCAGCTGTAGAAGTATGAAGCGTCATTCATTGGTGATCCATTTTCTCAGTGGGGACGATAGAACTATTAAGAAGGGTCAAAAAATGTAAAAAGCTTGCCGAGTCGCATTTCTTGAACCCCTCCTTTTTCATTCCCCCACTTAGCACATCGTCACCGAGTTAACGCTCGCACGTGACGTCATGTACCGGTACCGCCGACCGTTAGGCTAATTTTATAGAAAAAAACAAGCACTTCCTTTTTGACACTTATGCGAGATTTAATTTGATTACATATGTTGGTGTTCAATTAAACAGCCCCTAACATATCTATCACTCGTCCATTTAAACATACGTGGTTATTTCTGCAAGCTTGCTGTCTTGAGACTTTCGGCCCTTTAAAAATGTATTAAGCTCTCACCGTATAGAACTAGACTACACATATTAAGCTCCAAAAGAAGCTTGGTGAAACCAGGATGGCCGTCCGATTTTGTAGCTGCTCTGCGCTTTATAAAAAGCACAATAAACGATAAGATGACACTTATATTAAAGTAAATTATAGTTCTGAATCATGATACATTAAAAGTGATATTCTGAAATTAAGAGCCAGACAGTCAACATGATATTTCAATTTGAGCCCAAGAAAATAAATTTCCTTAAACAATGGAACGTTACTAAATTTTCGCGCAGTTTCGCGAAATTGAATTAAAGTATTTACGACATCTTACAAAGCGCGATAGCCTACTGGTGCTCTAACGCGGCCCATGCTAATGGCCATATTCCTAACGCCCCGCATTAGACGCGGCTTATTCGTCGGCAGGCATTTGGTGGCAAGCCTTTTTGACGGGGATAATGTGTTGAGGCCGTTTTGCCAAATGTCTTAAACTAGCAGGCTTGCAACATTTGTGATGGTTCGTTTTGAGCAAGGTATACGTATACTAATGCTTATTTGTCGTTATTTTGATCGAACAAAGCATTATAGAGGTTCTCCATCAACCACCTAGGTATTTTTCCCCGTTCACCTACTTTCATGAGACCGACACGTCATAAATTGCGGAGCCGCCAGAGTTGACGTCACAAATTTTCACTCACTCCCGTAGCAAATCATATGTGACATCATTTATGGACAACCCCATATTACTCACTTGGGTACTTGATATTGACATTTTGACAACAAAGGATAACCTAAATGTGTCTGGCAGGTGAAGACTTGCGATCGACCAAAATGACAACACACACTTTAAGGGGTGGACTGGTTCATTGTTTTAGATGATGTTTTACGAGGGAAGCTGGTGGATAATACATTTTGTCTCTCTGTATATATAAATGATGACAAACATTTAATGCTGTCAAAATTATGGTTAGAGATCTTAGATAAGGCAGAGTGAAGCGTACTTTTTTTACATTATGACTTGTTGTGACATTGACAACAAAAATATGACGGTGGTTGGGGTTTAATTAAGGTAAAGAGAAGTAAAAAAAATGTCATAAGTTACGATTGAAAAGAAAAACCTGAAATGAAAATAGTGAACATTCAAACAATAAGAAAAAACTCAAACTGTATAGTAATAGTAAGATCTAATAAACATTAGTTTAAAAAAAACGTGATTTAATACATGGATACAGGTTGCATCTCACAATGCTTCTAGAATTAATAAAGTTGTTTGTTAGGAAATTCAGTTTTTAAAGAGCAGAATTAAAAAAAAAAAAATGCTTTGTAATACGGACTATACAACAAGACAATCATATTTAAGTACATTTTCATACGAATAGAAATGAAAGGGAAGCTACTCTAAATTACTTTTTCTTAAGATGGCTGCTGTTTTTAATAGCAAATTTACTATCTCGAACAGGGTTGATAAAAATTAATTTCAGGATATTTAAATTGATTTAACCATTAATAGTGATTTATTATTTAATTATTTATAATATTTTATCAAAATATACGAAAATATACTCATATTTAACGACATATTCATTAATTCACTCTCTCCTACATTACTAGTTTTGGCCGAATTTACGACGCTAAACTAAGATTTTACCCAAATAAAAGTAGGGAGGCGATTAAAAATTATTACCGCTATCATTTGTATCTTGAAATTCTGTTACAAGCGACTGTAAATAGCTTAGTCTCCCTGTTCCATAAGGACCTGTTTTTCTATTGATGTAATCGTGCGAGCTAAACATCTCTGACACTTACTTACTACTTTCGCTTTCTGTTTTCTTCAAATGCGTTTGTTTAGAGTTTAGAGTTACCGACCCTTGAAAAAAAATTAAATTTCGATATGCAACTAGATCTATATATAGGCTACTAGAGTATATTATCATAACATTTTATGTACCATAGCCTTTACAATTCTGTCGAAAAATTAATTAAGAATTATATAATCAATTGCGAGGCAATAAAAACTACTAAAACTAGACCTAGTTAAAAATAGACGTTAAACAAAGAAGGCATGTTTGTTTACCAAGGACTAGAGCTGTTTTTTCCCATCGGGAAACACATGTCTGCACCATGTTGAACTGTTATTGTTCGGGATAGAATCTAGATCTAGAATCTAGAGGGATATAATTTAGCTGCATGCTAATGTCTAGTTATCGCCCCATAGAGATCTGGATTTGGCATAATGTAAAGGTGACGCAAACGCATCCTCTCCATAATTTCGACATAATCCCCCCCCCCCCAGGCGACCAACCCAGGTGCACACCATAAAGTATAAAGTATGGACTTCTGGCATTTTTTTTAATTTGGAAAAAAATAATTCGATCTCAAATTAAAATTAATGAAAAAAATATACGGGCTGCTGAACTAGACACATAAAGCACAATGAGGTGGCACGCTTGGTGTTGAGGTTTATTTCTCTTAAATCTTCTCTTAATACAATATGTCGTTTGCAAAAAGTAATTTCCTTCTAGGATGCTGTCACCAACTCCCGCACTACCTAATTATCGCTCTTGTTCTGTGTTTCTTTCGGGAATCTATATAATTTATATGGGTAAGGTATGCTTTAAGCAGTGTCCGCCCCCGCCACCCTCAGAAAATGTTATGTTTCCTTTTCCCGGAGAAAAAATTCTAAATGAAACCCTGCTTATTCCTGCTCAACAACTTATCAAATAAGAGAGCTCAGCTCTGAGATCTAAGAACACGATTAGTTTTAGAAAAAGAAAAAATACCACGAAGCTCACAGAAACGCAGAGGTTACTTTTGTTTTAATTTCAACATTGTAGTCCCTATTCGGTCAGTGGTTTTTTTTTTGTTGACAATTTAGGCCACTGCGGCATCAGTGGAGCGCTCAAATCGCTGGTTAAAAAATGCCAAAGATCCATACTATGCCACAGGGACCCAAATAACTCATAATAATGTGTACCGGGCCCGGTTTTTCTCTATGTGGCCCTGGCCTCACTGAAACTGGCTGACATCTTAAGCTAGAAAAACACGCTTAGACGAGGGGCACTAGAAATTCTAAAGGATTTATTTTGAGTAGGCCCAGTTCAAACCTAGTACCTAGCATGCCACCGTAAGGCCGAAAATAAGTGTACGTCTAAATATGTTAACACCTAAACAAATAATAGCAGTTATTATACACTATTATAATCGTATACGAAAGATGTTGAGCTATGTTGTGAGCATTGTAAATCATTTTGACATCATTGAATCCGCGTGTTGTGGGATGGCGTGGTCGGGTGGTAGCGCTCGATGGCTAACGCGAAAGTCTCTAGTTCGGATCCCGGGCTTGAATGTGTTAAAAACGTCCATGAGTCCGGGAGATCCTGACTAACGATAGGGAAAGTAAAGGTGTCTGAGCCTAATGCTGACCACAATAATATCCCTTCATATGCCAGGGTCACAGAAACAGATGAACTCTACTTTATCTGCCCCACAGACCATTCATTAACTCCTACTTTTAAATGCGCGTGTTGATTCACGTAGACGTATCTTAGACTAGTCATAACACTCTTTAAATTGATACACGACACATGGGCCTAACTTTTTATTATAATTATAACAACGCACTAAAATTGTTCTGGCTAAATATATAGACCTATATATACTAACTGCGCCGAAACTGAAACAACAATATGGGGAAAAAAACAATCCAGGGGGTAGCCAGATAAATGCACGATCAATGGAAGATTGCTAGCAGCCCATGTTATCATCCCTTTGTCTCCATTAACAAGTAATTGATGTTTATGATTCTTCGCCTAAAAAACAAACAACCAGGACCTACATGTTGATGGATAGTGAGAACGACGCTGCAGGCAGATAGGCTACATTAGTAGTGGGGGGGGGTGGAGGGGGAAGAGAGATCTACGTCTTGATGATTTTCAATCTGGAGTAGGAGCGTTCTGCACGTCGGAAGGACCGTTCTTCTGTAATAAAATTAGGGCCGATGTCCAGTAAATATGTTTGCGTGCATTTCCGGTGATGCTAGTTCCAAATCAATATCGCCAAATTCTGCGTAGATTTGGGATAAAAGAAACTAAACACTGCATAAACTAATTATTCTCCATGGGAAACTACGGTTTGGGGAAGCTCCTTTTAATTTTTTTTATTTTGACCAGGGCTGGGTGACACTGCATCTGAAAGAAATTCGTCACTGTTCACTTCATCATACACTTTCTTTATGCATCTCTTCCTAACAAAAAAACATTGATGCAACTTTACATATAGACTATATTATAGCTAAGATGGTTTTAGCGGTATGGAGAGTCGTCTTGTAGCGACATATAGGTCTATTTCGACTGATTGCAGAGCACGAGATGCACTTATACATGTGAGTAATGTGATTGTTTTGTATTCTTCCCCATCCTGATGTCACACCCCCTCCCCCGCTTCAATGACGTCACCCAGACATCCCGTCCACCGTGAAGCTAAAGACGGATATAGCATCGGAAAGTGCTAATTAACCTCTAGATTGGCAGCATCGAATCTCGTAATCACAAGTAATCACATCGTTTCATAAAGGAAGGGCTGATTGCAAGCGTTTTATGACCCTAACAAAGATGGAGTTTGTTAATAAGAAAAAGTCTCAAATATTTGGAGGGATTGAGTATTCTAGGGGCGGGAGTTCTGTTGTCTAATCTAGAAGAAGCCTCTAGGTCGACACGGAAAACCGCTTGAAAATATGTGAAACACCGAGTTTACACTTGCGACATGTATACTTTACATGTCTAGAACTAGAAAAAAAAAGGTGTAACGGCCGCTTGATGTTGTGTAAAGAATGACCAGCAGTATTCCTCGACACAACGTAGGGGCAGAGGCGTAGCGAGGGGGGGACGGGGGTGCGGACCGTACCGGGTGACACCATTTAGGGGGTGACACCAAAGCAAAAACTAGCAAAATATATAGAGAAAAATTTGAGTGGGGGGGGGGGGTGCAAATCGTAAGTTTGAGCGGGGGGGGGGGGGTGTAAATCAAAAATTGAAAGTTTGTCCCCGGGAAGGGTCGCTACGCCTCTGGGGGGTGACGCCATTAAGTGCCGCACCGGGTGACACCCGACCTCGCTACGCCACTGCGTAGGGGAGGGGATGGGGAACGCCTAGTGACACCAAAATAAAAAAAAATATAGCTAATTATAATGAGAGGCAATGGCATAGTCGGACGGTAGAGATCGCTAATCTAACCCGAACTTCTCGAATTCGGATCTCAGGCTTGAGTGTGTAGGACGTCTCTGTCCACCCAGCTCTAATGGGTACCTGATTCACGTAGGGAAACTAATACGGTCAGGCATAGCGTTCAACACACTCTTCCTCTGGATGGCAATGTCAGTGAAACAGATAAACTCTACTTCATCTGCCTAATGTATCTTAGGCACGTACGGAAAAAAGATAATGATCCTCGTCGCTTTTAATATTATTTATATCGGAGGAATCAAATGCGGTGGACTAGCTGCACGACGGTCGTCTCCAGATTTGCGGACTACCCATACAACTTTTTTCTGAGTGGGGCCAGAGTCTAGACCGTGTTTGTTCATATGTGCTGCAGTCTTGTAGGGCGTGTTCTGTGTTCTCTGGGGTCATGCCACAAGGGCGCCATGCCACAAGGGCGCCATGCTACAAGGGCGCCATGCCACAAAGGCACCAACTTGATGTCAATTGTCGATGATAAATTATAATGCTTTTCACAGTTAGTTTAATACTTCATTAATATTATATATACATCACTAGGCAAAGGTTGACACTGTTGGTATGGGTGTGACACCATTTTCTCTTTTGTTTTAGTACATCTCAATCATTGGAGGAGAAGGGTCTGACTCGACCTAGTGACGCCACTGGGATTAGGGGAAATTTTTTGGGCACCAAGCCAGAGGCGTAGCGAGGGGGGGGGGGGACATATGTCCCCGGGCGCCGACCTTAGGGGGGCGCCAAATTGAAAGTTTGAGGGGGGGGGGGGGTGCAAATGAAAAGTTCGAGGGGGCTGCAAATCGAAAGTTTGAGGGGGGGGGGGGTGCAAAATGAAAAGTTCGAGGGGGTGGTGCAAATTGAAAGTTTGTCCCCGGGCGCCGGGAGGGGTCGCTACGCCTCTGCAACAAGCATCGGCGATCATCACATCTGAGAGTAGGCAGACATTCTTGATTGCGTTCGTCACAATCAAGTGTAAGGCATCTAGACTAGACTTTTTGCCTAATAGCCTACTTATTAGTTTAAGAATGAAGTAACGCACGTTTTTTTTTTCAAGACGGTCTCACTAATTGGGAATAGATTCCAGATATTTTTTGCAAGTTCCAAAATTTTCATATCGTTTTAACAATGATATGCTGCTTAAATTATAAATATTAGGCATGTATTCAGTGTTTCTTTCAGACTCTTTTCTCCAGGGACGGCACTTGAAACTTCCCAGGAGGGGTGAAATAAATTTTCCGGGGGATGGTGCCGACTTTGGTAAAACTATATAATTTCTACATAAATTCTATTTCGTTCGGAGATGATTGAAAGAAACTGCCTATATTGGTGGCAGAGGCGTAGCGACCCTTCCCGGCGTCCGGGTACAAACTTTCAATTTGACGGCCCCCTCGAGAGCAAATTTTCAATTTGCACCCCCTCCCGCAAAAATGCAGCTAAATTGACATTTTAATTTTTTTTACAACCCATTTTGGCGCCCCCTAAGGTCGGCGCCCGGGGACATAAGTCCCCCCCCCCTTCCCCCCATCGCTACGCCTCTGATTGGTGGGCATATAGGCCTATCAGTGGCGTAGCCAGGATCGTCTCAAGTGGGGGGGGGGGGGGGTTCCAATTTTT